CTCCCACTCCAACTTCCACATCGTGCGGCTGCTGCTGGACACAGGTCAGTGCTCCCCAGCTGACAAACGTCCCTCTGCCACCACCCTGCTCACATCCTGGCCATGCCAGGCACGGGAGACAAATGCCAGCAGCAGGGAGAGCTGCCCTGTGCTGTGCCCATGCACATGGGGGAAGGTGGAAGTCACCTCAGCCCTTGGGGAGCCCAGGTTTGATAGGGGGGAACTCATCAGCAGGCCATGGGACAGCTCACAGCACCCTGAGCTCTGCCCATGCCCACAGGGGTCTGTAACGTGGACCACCAGAACAAAGCTGGCTACACAGCCCTCATGCTGGCAGCGCTGGCAGCTGTCGAGCAGGAGGACGACATGAACATGGTCAGGAGGCTCTTCAGCATGGGCAACGTCAACGCCAAGGCCAGCCAGGTTGGTGCATCACATCCTGACCCTCACTGCGTCACCAAGGGCCACAGCTGGCTCTTCCAAGGACAGCTTCAAAACCTGAAGGAGCTGCAGTAGGAGCTGCTCTGTGTGGTCCTTGCCTGGGGCAGTGGGATGAGCGGGTGACCCAACCAGGACAGGTCCCCCTGGCATTGTCCCCTGCCTTGCAGGCCGGGCAGACAGCACTGATGCTGGCTGTGAGCCACGGCCGGCAGGAGATGGTGGAGGCTCTACTCGCCTGTGGAGCTGATGTGAACCTGCAGGACGAGGAGGGCTCCACTGCACTGATGTGTGCCTGTGAACACGGGCGTGTGGAGACCGTGAAGCTGCTGCTGGCTCAGCCCACTTGCGACATCTCAATCGTGGACAGTGTAAGCCTCTGCGGCCCGGGTGCATTCACCCACCTGCATCCTGCCCCCCCAACCTCTTCCAAGGGCTCTCCTTTCTGTTTTCAGGATGGGAACAATGCCGTTGCCATTGCGCTGGAGGCTGGTCACAGCAACATCGCTGTGCTCCTATATGCCCATCTCAACGTGAGTACCAGAGGTGGCACCAGCTCAGCTGCAGGCAGTAGGGCTGTGACAGGGGTAAGAGCACGGCACCCTGAGTGCCACACACTCACTGCATCTTCAGCAGCAGGACACCAGCCTGGCTGGCCCTCACTGGGAGTTGCTGGGGTGACACTGTGTGACTCTGGAGTGACATTGCCTCTGCTCTCTTTACAGCAGGGGACATCACCAACAGCCACCAAGAGCCCTGGGGGCACAAAGAAACCGAATTAGAGTGACCTCAGGAGTCAGCCCTCAGCACCAGGCTATGGTTTATGTCCCCCTTGCCTGCTGAATCACACCCTGCAGATGCTTTAACCCTCCTGTCACAGAGTATGCACTGTCCCATGCACGGCCACCTTGCTCCACCAAGTGACAGAGGAGGGTAGCATCAAGCAACCGGGGTGGGAAACTGAGCAAAAGCTGGCCCCATCCCATCCCCTCCCCATCAGCCCTGCGCTGCCTCGGAGTCCTTTGCAAGTCCTTCACTCACTGGAACAGCAGCAAACAAGCCCAGCAGAAGTGGCACATGGTTCCTGTTTCCTGGCAGCTCTGGGGAGGAGTACTGCTGGTGACAAGGAGCAGGGCTGCTGGGCGCTGCTGTGCTGCACACTGCCAGCGGGAAGAAGCTCAGCAGCCACAAGACACAAGCCCAATGGTCAGTGCTGCCTTGGACATGGCCTGGGAGCAATTCCAGACTGAAATACTGCTCTTTCTCTTCTGGCCTTTCCTTTCCGGGCTGAAATCTGATTATTTTTTCCCCTAGCACATGCACACAAAGCAAAAAGTATTATATTGCTTAATCAAAGGATGGAGTTGAACAAGAAAGCACTTAGTGATTTGATGTGCAGAAGCACTGAGCACCTAGGGTTGCCACCGAGCTGACAGGAGGGGGCTGAGTCATAAATGCATTTAGGGACATTTAAGATACCCCACACAGGGAACAGGGACCTCCTCCCAGGACAGAGATAGTCAGAAGCCACTTACTGTGAAGGCAGGCAGAGCCCCAACCAAGCCTCTCTGCCCACTTCCCTTCCCAAAGGGGACAAGAGCAGCTCATGTTGTTCCAGGAAAAAAAAAAACGATGGGCAAGAAGAGTTGAGAGGAAGCTGTAGAGATGGACACGAATGTCAGAGGATGTGTGCACGAGTGTCTGTGCCAGGCAGGGTGGGAACAGACAAGGAAAGCACTAAGGACTGGGAGTGAAGAGGAAAAGGGTTCTGCATGTGAAGCTGGCTCTGCTCTGAATCCTTCACATGGTGCCATGTCACAGCTCCAATTTCTGCTCCTTGACTCCCCAGCATCACTCTCGCTCCCCCAGACCTGGTCTGAGCTGTGCTCTGAGCTGGGAAATGCTCCCAGGAAAACTGGTTCCAGTTGACACGCCGCTGTGCTGGCAACGGGCCTGGCTCAGCTTTGCACTGAAGTTAACACACAGCGCTCACAGCCTCCCTCTGCACTACTCTGGATGTATTCTGTACTCACTGCTTCGGTCTCACAGGTTTGGTTACTGATACTTTCATACTGATGACTATTTTTAAGATACAAATAAAAGTTTTGAGTAAAATTATTTTGGAATCTTGCAGTGACCCAGCAGCAGTCTTTGCCTCAAGACAAAACCCTTCAGCAGAGGGACAGCCTGGCACAGCCCTCCCATTCCCATTCCTTCCCTGCAAGTTTATGGACTGCTTACATGCATCAGTCAGTTTATTTTCACCCAAAATATCCTTTTGGGTCATGGCATCTTCTGTCCTGTTTCACTCCTCAGGACCAAGCAGGATGCTAGAACCAGATGTAGCCCTTTACTACCCTTGGTTCCCCCTGGTGCTTTGACATTAAGCTGCATTATCATCATCAGTTTGAGTGGGGGTGCAAAGTCACCTCCCTCCTCACGTGGCCAAGGACCACGCTGACCCCACAGGGATATTTGGGAAGGGCTTCAACTGCTCTGAGCCACCCCCATCACAAGTTGACATCTGTCTGGCAACCAACTCGCAGCTAAAGCCTCCTGCTTGGTCACTCAGCACAGTCAGCACCAGATCACTGCTAAAGCTGTGCAGGGAACAAACAGCAGCAAAAGTAAACTCAGGTATCACATGAACCAAGGGAACACGGACTCAGCTGATGCCCTGAAACTGAACCACTACCAAAGAATCAAGAACTAGATCAAGCAACAACACAAGCACGTATCAACAGGGGCTTTCCCCAGAGCACATCCTCCTTAGGCTGCCCACGAGCTGACCAGGGCACAACCAACACCAGCAGGAGGAAAACAAAACCAATCAACCACTCTTTTACCAGCCCCAACAGCAACCTTCGCTGTCTGCCAAGTGCAGCAATTCAAACACCTATTCCAGGAGTGCTCTCCTGAGCTCCAGGTACTGAAACCTTCAATCCCCCCTACTCTTGAGGTGCCTTAATCTAAGTTCAGGACATTGAAGGATGAACACTCCCAGCAGAGACCACACGATCAGGAGCTGCAGACTTGACTGGGTTCAAGCACATCACAAACCAGTATCACTCTACTATCAGATGGAAAGCATCAGCACTTAAAAAACAGCCCTCAGACCTTAACAGTTTTCAGGCTCATTCCTCATCCTTTGAGCCTTATTTTTACTTCATTTAATAGATACCAATAAATCTTTCTAGCTGACTTCTTGCTGGAAGGGAAAACTGAGGACGAACGTTAAGCGAGACTGACTTGCCAACTCCTCTAAGAGGAGACAAGCACTCTCTCTGTGAGTGATTGCCAGGAAAGACAGCAAATAGGTATATTTATAGAACTGCTTACTGAGGACAGAAGGGCAAAAGCAGCCAGCTGTTCTCTGAAAGCTGACTTTGAACTTGTATTTAAATTCCACAGAAGGCCAGTAAGTTCAGCAGTGCCACTTTACTGGCTATATGCAGAATTCTTACCAGAAAAATGGGGACTCAGGTTGCTGCAACCAAAACAGTTATTTTTGTTGTGACAGGTTAATAAAAGTACAAAAAACAGAGTAATAGGACAATAAAGGCAGCATGGGTAACCCCAGAAATAAGCAGTCTGTGCTTCTGTTCCACTGCTGGACCCAGCAACAAGAAGTGCATGCATAAATACCGAGGCCAATGGAGCACTCACACACTGAGTAAGCGAGACCTTTATTGAAGCAACAGAACTGCCACACTCCTCTCCATCCCTGACCTGCATCTGGCCAAGCAGATGGCAACCGGCCACCCCAAGCACATGCCATCAGCCTTCATCACCTGGAACAGAACAATGGAGGCCACGTTGGTTCAGACAGCAGTGGGAGGCCACTGATTCAAAATGGGCAGCACCAGGCTCACTGGTAGCCCCATACTCACCAGCTCAGCGCAGCCGCCGGGCCTCACGCTCTGACTCCAGCAGCGTAAGGACATCACCCTCCCGCACCGGCCCCTTGACGTTGCGGATGATGGAGCGGCTCGTGTCATCCATGAACTCCACACGCACCTGCGGGAACAGAAGGGGTCAGCCCAGTGTGAGATGGCCCCGCTCGAGACAGCCCCAACCTGTCCTGGCCCCCTCACCTGTGTGCACTGCCCCTGGGAACCGGTCCGGCCCAGCACCTTGGTCACCTAGGGGCAGAGAGCAGAGAATCAGCACAGAGCCGCAGCCCACCCCGGCCTTGGTCCCACTCACAAGCCCAGGCCAGACGTTGGCCCCACTCTCACAGCCCCCAGACCCAGACCCGCTCGCCCCTTCCAGGCCCCCTCTCTCCTCCGGGCCCATTCACGCCAGGCCCCGCTCAGCTCCACTTTCGCTCCCGTCCTCACTCGCACCGAGGCCCGCCCTCACACCCGGCCAACCCGCTCCGCTCGCCCCCAGCCCCGCTCCGCTCCGCTCGCCCCCAGCCCCGCTCCGCTCCGCTCGCCGCCGGCCCACCCTGGCCAACTTGATGGGCTGCACCCGACTCGTGTCCATGGCGGCTCCGCTGAGGGCAGGAAGAGGGGGAGCTCCCCCTCACGGCCTTTATGTGCGGCGCCAAGCCTCGCGAGACCCAGCGTGCCCCGCGCGCGCTCCCGGCATCTCCCGTGCCTGCCCCCCCGTCCTTTACCGCGGCCACGATGGCGACGGCCACCAGCATCGTCCAGCGCCTGCGGAACTTCCTGGCGGGGGTAAGCGCGGCCCGGGCCGCGGGGGCTCGGCGGGTCCCGGCCCCGGCCCCTGCGCTCCCGGCCGCGCCGAGGCCCCGGCACAGGGCAGCGGCCCGCGGCACTGCGTGAGACGCTGTCGCCTCTGCCTTGCAGCGGAACATCCAGGCCAAGCTGCCGCTGCGCTACACGGAGATCGCCAAGAGGTGCCGCCGGGGCGGGCCGGGCCGCGGGGGTGCGCGCTGCGGCTCCCCGCCTGCCTGACGCTCCGCGCCCGTTCTTTGCCTTAGAACCCAGCCGCCGCCCCGGCTGCCGGTGGGGCCCAGCCACAAGCTCGCCAATAACTACTACTGCCTGCGGGACGGGCGGCGGGAGGCCTTCCCGCCCATCGTGGTGGTGGCTGCCCAGAAAAGCCTCGCCGCGGGGGCGCAGGCTGGCGGGTAGGTTGGACACGGTGCCGCAGCGCTGGGGCCTGAGCGAGGTTGAGTCTGCGTTACTGGCACCAGAAGCGCAAAGCTCTTCCAGTGCCAGGACTCCCAGCCTGGCAGGAGAACGCCTATGTCTTTATCTCGTGAATAAGCGAGGGCTGGGAGTTGATGTAATGATCCTCTTTAGCAATAACGAAACCAGTTCTGATCGAATCCAAGTCTGACCTTCACACCCTCGTCTTCAGTTCAGGCTCTGCAGTGGCAACAGCTGAGAAAAAGCCAGTGACGCCAGGAGCACCCCTGAAGAAGTGGGAAATCTCAAAAGACCAGCCCTATTTGTGAGTGATAAATGCGGTGAGATTGGATATACAGACCCCCGGTCGTTCCAGAGCAGCTTCCTGACGGGAGTTGTGCTGGGTTTTGCTTCAGTAATACTGCACAGGACTTGTCCCAGCACTGATGCTGCATGAATAATAAACGTATTTAAAGTTGTGATCACCCTCCACACCTCTTGTTGGCTGTTCTGTTTGAATTACCTGAATTACTGCTCTTTAATACTGTTTGGGGTGTAGGGCTTTCTTGGGGACACAGGAGCACAAAGCTGAGTGTGGGTTAGAGCTACAGCTGAGACACAGCTCAAGGACAGCACAGGATAAAATGTGCCCTGGGTGAGGAGGAGTGCTTTAACCTGCTAGAGGGAGACTGAGATGAGCTCTTAGGCAGAAGCTCTTCTCTGTGAAGGTGCTGAGGTGCTGGCACAGGGTGCCCAGAGAAGCTATGGCTGCCCCATCCCTGGCAGTGTTCAAGGCCAGGTTGGACACAGGGGCTTGGAGCAAGCTGCTCCAGTGGAAGGGGTCCCTGCCGTGGAGCTGGAGGAGCTTTAAGGTCCCTTCAGCCCAAACCATTCCACGGTGGTTGGATTTGTTGTAAGAGGCATGAGTTAGGTGCCTGCACTGCACTTACCCAAGCGCCCAGTGTCCCGGGCACGGAGCCACCCTCCCTGCAGGCGCTGGGCACTGAGCTCCAGCCCCTCCAAGGACAAGCGGTGCTGCGGGCGCTGTTCTCCATTGCGCCGCGGCGGGCGGGGGCGCTGCCCCTCCGGTATCCCGAGAGAAGCGGGACGGGGCCTGCTCCCGCCGGGGGGCGGCCGGGGCCTCGCCCCGCCCCGCCGGCCCCCCGTTGGTGGAGGTCATTCCAGTGCGCATGCTCAGTGCAGCGCACGGACAGCCTTATAGCGGTGCGGAGGCAGCGGGTGGTGCCGCAGCGCAGCGGTGGGCCCGCGTCATGGCGCGGCTCCCGGTGCTCCCGCTCTTGTCCCTGGTGCTGCCGCTCCTGTCCCTCCTGCCCCCGGTGTGGCCGGTGCTGCCGCCGCTGCCGCCGCCGCTGCCGCCGCACAACGGTGAGGGGACGAGGGAGGGCGGCGGGGTGCGGGCGCGCTGTCTCTCTCGCGTGCCCTCATTGGCTGCCGGCGCACGCCCTTCATGCTCATTGGCTGTCGCGTTCGGACGCCCTCGCGCGCGGGCTCCCGTAGCGCGGTGCGCCGCAGGGTCCCTCAGTCCGCCCGTTCCCCCCCCCCCCGCAGTGACCCTGCCCCGCTGCCCCCCGGGGCGGTTCCGGTGCGCGCCCCACGCCCCCTGCGTGACCGTCGAGTGGCGATGCGACGGGCACCCCGACTGCGATGATGGAGAGGACGAGCTGGGCTGCGGGACGGTGCCCCCGGCGGAGCCGAGCCCTGGCGGCGCAGGTACGGGGGGCGGCCGGAGGGGTTGGGGGGAGCGGGGAACCGCGCCGAAGCCTTCCCTTCCCGTGGCAGCCGCGCCCGTCACGGCTTGACCTGACCGGAGGAAGCCCCGGGGATCGGCGCAGCCCCACCTTGAGCTTCCTCCCGTAGAAGCTTCGTTTAAACCCCGCCAGGGTGTCCTCAGGAAGCGCCCTTGAGGAACCTTCCCGCAGAGCAGAGCCTGGCGGCTTCCTTCCACCGGCGACACTGCCCGTCCTTCGGCGCTCCTCTGGGGATGGGGAAGATACGAGGAGAAGGATGGGGGAAGCGCCCGAGGGCTGTGCAGGCAGGGTCAGAGCAGCGGGAGCTGGTCTCTGTCAAGCCAAAGGGTGTGTTGCATCCCCAGCGCTGTCTGCTCTGGAGCATCCTTGGTCACAGCACTGTTGTGTGTCTGAGGTGCTTGAAAGGCTCCAGCTTCCCTTTTCACAGGGGTTTCTGTGTCAGCTGGGAGCTGAAGCTGAGTGTGGAGAGGAGGGGGGATTATTGCAGGCATGAGAAACTGGATTTGTGCTCAGTACCTGCATCACTTGGTAGGGGGGGAGATGAGCTATGTTTTAGTTGTGCCTGGGGCTGCCTGGGGCCACGAGGAGAGGTTAAGGATGCTGCAGCTACAGCTGGGAAACTTCCCAGCTTTCCCTGTTCTGTATTTCCAGTAGGACTTTTTTTCTCCTCTGATGTGGCTTAATCACAGTACAGGCAGATAAGGTTTTACTTACATTGAAAAAGGCCCATTGGAACTTTTGAGGTGAACTGGGAATTTGGCCAGGTTTGGACTGCGGGCAGCTTTGCATGATGCCTGTGAAGTGAGTTGGAAGCCTTCTTGCTCTTTCCTTACAGAGGCTTCGGCTACGCCTGTGCCTGAGGGCTCAGCACCATCCAGCAGCCCAGACCGCCTGTGGATCTTGGTTATTGCAGGTATGTGAATCTCTGAGTGCTGCACATGTCCTGGCTGGGGCTATCATTTAAGCATCCCGATGCAAGTAATTCCAGACCTGTATCAGGACTCAGAGGGTTGGGGGAGGCTTTAGACCCTTTCCTCTGACTTGAGTGTTCTGTGTTCTTGGAAAAGCCGTTCCATGTCATCTGGCACTAACTCATTTCTCTCTGTGCCTTATCCTTGAGGGAAGGTGCAGCTCTGAGCCTGATGGCTAACACTGCTGAGCGGCAGAACCCAGAACTGATGTCCAGACCAGGCACAGTGAGTGGTCCTCTGCTTGTGCGCTCTCCTCTCTAGCGCTCCTGAGCATCCTGGTAGCTGTTGGTTCTGTTGCTGCGTGGGGCATATCCAAAGCAAAAAGCAGATCTGATATCTTCAGTCCTGAAAAAGCATCCAGAGAACGGCTAATGCCTGACAAGAGCCAGAGGGGCTCATTTCCCTAAAGGGTAAGTTTCTTGCACCCCACATCCTCTGGGTGTGGAGAAATGCTTTCGTGCCCTCTGTTTCCAGCCTCCAGAGCTTTCCTCTCTGGGGGCAGCTTTTCCTGCTGCTGGTCAGCCACATGCTTGGGGTTTCAGCCTTTCTTCTTTGACTGCATGGGCAGTTACGCTGCCTAACCTGAGAAAGTGCTGTCTTTTGATAGTGATGTGCTGGTATGTCCTTCCTCTGCTGCCCAGGACAGGGAGCAGTCATGCTTAGACACTCATCTCATGTGGGTTGTTTTCCTCCGCTTTGCCCACACAAGTCAAACCAGGTGGGTTTTTTTGCCCAGAGACTGTCAATAACCAGGTGTTTTTCTGTTCTTGTACCAGGGATCTGTACCACGAGGTGATGAGATGGGGCCAGCCTGGTCTTCCTCCAGCTGGCTGTATTGGACCCATAAGCTGTCAAGTCTGAATTGTTACACTGGAATAGCAAAGGATGCTCCCCTTGAAAATTGATTTTAGATTGTGGGACTACTTTAGGTCTGGAAATAGCACAGGACCTTCCCTGGTGCTGTGAAATCACCCCTTACACAAGCTGGTAGAAATGTCTTCATTGCTGTTGCCTCCAGGGTTTGTTAATGCTGATCTCACCAGAGTGGCCTTGGACCTAAAGGTTTTATCCTCCACGAAATGATAGGTGTTAGGTGCTGTTCAACTGTTCCACTTCCAACCAAGAGATTTTCTTCACCTGCCCCATTTCCCCCCCTGGATTTTGCTAGGGAACAGGGGCTTTCTTATCCATTTCAGTAGGAACTTACTAACTGCACAGATCCAACATGTACTCCATGTTTGTGGCACTGTTTTAATGGTGCTCAGTCCAATGTTCAGGAAGCTTTACTGAAAGGACAGCCACATGGGGGAAAGTCGGAAACTTCTTGTCTGCTCTGGCTTTGCTGCTGCCACCCCCAGTCAGCGTGGGGCCAGCAGCTTCTCAGCACACTCCCTTCCAGCAAGAACCTCTGCAGAAACACTTTCCACCCCAGTGCTGAACTCTGGATATTGTTCTGTAACCGTTAATGTTGCCTTCCTTAAAACTGTTCTGATGTGAGTGGTGTCCCTCAAGGGTCCGTACTGGGACCAACGCTGTTTAAAACCAAATGTTTTGGGCTCAAAAGTACCTTAAAGCTCATCCAGCCCCAACCCCTGCCACAGGCAGGGACACCTTCCACTAGAGCAGGTTGCTCCAAGCCCCATCCAACCTGGCCTTGAACACTGCCAGGGATGGGGCAGCCACAGCTTCTCTGGGCACCCTGTGCCAGTGCATCACAGAACAGAACTGTGCCCAATCCCTGGCAGTGTTCAAGGCCAGGTTGGACACAGGGGCTTGGAGCAAGCTGCTCTAGTGGAAGGGGTCCCTGCCCATGGCAGGGGTTGGAGCTGGAGGAGGTCCCTTCCAACCCAAACCATTCTATGTTTCCATGAGGTTTTCACTGTTTTTCTGTGCTTTGGGGCACGTGCTGCACTTTCCAAGCAGCTCAGTGCTGTATGCTTCTGAGAACTGACAGTGGGGCAGGAGACTGCTGAGCAGTGCCTCCAGCTCCATGTTGACCACGAGCCCCTTGCACGGGTGCACAAAGGATTGAAAGCTGCTGCCCTGGCTGCTGATCTCTGTGCCTTAAAGGTGAGAACTTGGCTTGCCAAACAGACACCAGTCATCAGCCTTAGAGCAGGAGCCTTCCACCCTGGGTAGTGTGTGTGTGCTGCTGTACCCCATGGGAGAAACTTCTAGATGTGGCATGGAGTACTGAGTTATTACAGTGCTGCTGTTCTTAGTACCAGGAGGTCATTTGCAAAGGTGCACACACCTTGCTTCTGCTTCCACAGGGGTAAGTGGAGATAGCTGTTGGTGAATGACACAGGAGAATAAAGAACTTGAAACTAATGAGCTCTGGATTTTGGATTTTTCTTGGATTTGCTCGAATCCTACAGTTGGGAAGAGGCTCCAGGAATCCCGTCAGGACAGGGTGATGGAAGTGCCAAGTGGCAGAGGTCAGCTGGCACCAGCCTGGCCCACATCATCCTCTTAGCTCGAGCCGCTGAGCTGGGACCGGCTGTTCTGGGGCAGAGAACATAGCAGAGCCTGGGGAGCAAGGCTGGTGGGTAAACCCAGCACCCACCACAGCAAGACCATACAGATTTTGCTTCCTGATCCCTGAGCTGAGCGTTTCAAGGTTGAAAGAAGCAGTTTTATGATTCTGGTGCCAAAGCTTGGGGCCAAGTTTGTGACAGCAATTTCCCTTTCTCTCTCCAGTGCCAGGAGCACTTTTGTTCTCCTAATCCCCAGGCTCAGAGGCTTCAGTAGCGGAGCCTGAGCTACTTTTCAGCCCAGGAGCAGCTTTGTGCTCCAGGTCTCTGTATTTAATTAGATCAGTTCATGGGGATCAATGTGATGCTGAGGTAGGGTTGTGTTCCAGGGTAAGACATCGAAGATCAGCCCATTTAAAGTTGCTTCCCCTTTTCTTTGGAAATCCAAAGCATTTCTTCCTTTTCAGTTCCTATAGATCAGGGGAACTTTTACTGCACACATACAATCCAGTGTTCCATTCCGTGTTCCTGCCCCTACTTGCTGGAGTTCTGGGGCTGCTGTGATGAGCAGAAGCAGCCTGTCACACTGGGGATGTGCTCAGGTACAGGGGGTGAGATGCTTCCTTCACCTCTTCCCCTGTAAACCTGCACTGGGGAGGTTTGAGGCTGAGCTGGGAGGGAGCAACCATTTCCCTTCTCTGGGCTGCTGATGGAGCCAGGGCAGCAGCATTAAGTGCTTAATGAATGAGTGGTGCCAAGAGCAGCAGCTCCTGTAGGGGTACAAAGGTGATGCAAATGCTGTGTGTCTGCACCTTCCTGTGCCTGGCAAGGGAGGTCTTTCAGGATTAGCTCTCAAGGGATGTTCCCCTTAGAAACAGGGTAGTGTGGAAAGAACAGAGTGAGGAAAGAAGTGCAGAGCTGGAAATAGTTCCTTACATAAAGGGCTAGGGCTTCAATCTCATTACTGTCTTAAGGAGCAGGCACTTGGCTGCCTCTGACTCCTCCAGTGCAGCCCACGGCCTGAGCAGCAATCGGCTTTGGGAGCCTGGCAGGTGCCCGTGTCCCTCAGTGCTGCTCCTTGGAGCCCACAGCGCTTGTCCCGCTCAGGGTGTGCCTGGTGGGAGCCTTCCCATGGGGCTGGAGCTGCTGCCCCGTGGCCTGTAGCAGGGATCAGGCACCATGAGGCAGCTGGGGATGAGGCGAGCGAGTCTCTCTGCCAGCCTGAAGCTCGGGGACCACCGGGGCTGCGGCCGCACGCTGGAGGAAGAGGAGGTGCACATCCCCTTTGCCCAGGAGAGCCTGGTAAAGCAATGGAGCTCCATGCAGAACATGACGGACAGAAAGCAGGAGAAAAGCAAGGCTCCCCTTCAGAGGAACAAGTTCTTGCTCAACATTAATGTGGGTGGCAAGTTGTTCCAGATAGCTTACAGCGTCGTGGCCCGGTACCCCGTCACCCGCCTCGGGAAGCTGGCCCGTTACACAGACCCTACCAAGAAGCTGCAGCTCTGTGATGACTACTCGGTGCAGAAGAACGAGTACTTCTTCGATAGAGATCCTTCCATTTTCCACTACATCTTCCACTTCTACCGCAGCGGGGTCCTGTGGATAATGGATGAGATGTGCCCCAGTAACTTCATGGAGGAAATTGAGTACTGGGGAATCCATCTGAAATACTCCCAGCGCTGCTGCCGGATCCTGTTTGAGGAAAAGCAGGATGAGCTCAGCGAGTACCTGAAAATCCAGAAGGATCTGGAGGCAGAGCTGGAGCCCCTGGACTCAGCGAAGCAGTTTGAGGGCAAATTTCTGGGTCGGTTTCGGGAGATGATCTGGAACCTCATTGAGAACCCGTACTCCTCTGTCACGGCCAAGATCATCGCTGTCATGTCGAGCATCTTTGTGCTCATCTCCATCGTGGGCATGACACTGAGCACAGTGGAGGAGATGAAACACAAGACAGGGAAGGTGTGGATGGAGCAGCTGGAGATGATTTGTGCCATCTTCTTCACCTCCGAGTACCTCATGCGGCTCATCTCCTCCTCCAGCTTCAAGAACTTCTTGCGGGCAGCGTTCAATGCTGTGGACCTCGTGGCCATCCTGCCCTTCTACATCCAGATCCTCTTTGAAAGCCTGGACGAAGGGGACATGCTCTACCATGAGGAGCTGCACAAGATGGAGAACGTGGGCAAGCTGGGCAAGGTCCTCAAGCTCATCAAGCTCATGAGGATCTTCCGCATCCTCAAGCTGGCGCGTCACTCCACCGGCCTCCGGGCCTTCGGCTTCACCATGCGCCAGTGCTACCAGCAGGTTTGCTGCCTCTTCCTCTTCATCGCCATGGGGGTCTTCACCTTCTCTGCTCTCATGCACTCGGTAGAGCACGATGTCCCAGGCACCAACTTCACCAGTATCCCCTACGCATGGTGGTGGGCAGCGGTAAGGTGTGACATCTCCTCCCGGGGCTGGGAGTGGTGGGGTTCTGTGGGTAGGGACTGCTCCAGGGCACAAGGGATTCACCACTGCTGGTGCTGGGGTGGTTGATGGGACAGAGGTGGTGGTGACCTGTGAACCTCCAGGCGTGGGTTAGCGCCAGGGGGGGATGTAACCTGGGGTTAGCTCTGAGCTGAGGAGCAGCTTAAAGCACTCGAGAGCCAGGGGTTAAAAGGGCGTTTTGATTTACGGGTCAAATGATCCTCCAGATCACCTCTGCCCTTACAATCCCCTCGGCCACCCCAGGCTCCCTGCTTCACATTCCTTGGGGAAGTACAAGAACCACTTGGCAAAGTTACCAGCTTTGAGTATTTAAACCCTGGGCTGATCCTGACTCCAGCAAAGCCCAAACCACTCTGTTTTCACCAGGTCCCCACAGCCCTGCTGCCCCAGCACCCAAACACAGCTCCTCCGGGTTCATTCCTGGCCTGTGCCTCTGCTTCCCATGGAGGAAGGGTCTGGGAAGCTTCATTCCTGTGGGATTGGGTAGCTCCTGGCCAGGAAGCGCTGGAGCCACCTCTCCATGGGGGCAGGAAGCTCCAGCGGACAGTCTGACTGCAGGGAAAGTCGAGCTCGGTGACGTCCTGCTGCTTTGAAGGGACGATGTGAAGAGGAGGATGGAGGGGGGGGGTTGTCTCTGGTCTCTGCTGTGGGGTCTCATCCAGCCCTTTCCTTGGGCTCTCCCAGCCTGCTGGGTGCTGGAGCAGGCACGGCCAAGGGCAGCGCCATTCCCGGGTGACACCAGGGGCAGTGGGGAGGTGGGTCCCAGCAGGGCTTGCTCATGTGGGATTTTATCCTTTCCCTTCCTCACCCTCGCCCAGGTCAGCCTCTCCACTGTGGGCTACGGAGACACCGTGCCTGACACGGTGCTCGGCAGGATGGTGGCGTTTGGCTGCATCTCCTTTGGCATCATCCTCAACGGGATGCCCATCTCCATCCTCTACAACAAGTTCTCTGATTACTACGCCAAGCTGAAGGCCCACGAGGACGAGATCAGCCACTCGCTGAAGCTCTCCAGGAGGCTCCGCTTGAAGGAGCGGGTCCTGAGGAAGCTGTCGGAATGCTGCAGGGATGACCCCCGCCACCAGCACTGACACCAGCCCATGGGGTACCCAGTCTGCCCCCCTCCACCACGTCCTGTCCCCTAGGGAAGCTCCCCAGCTTGCCCATGTGGCCATGACTGTGGTGTGACCTCCCCCAGCATGGTTCTGCTGTCCTGCAGCTAAAGACCATGCTGTATGGACACCTTTCTATGTGCCATAGGCTGGGGATGGGGCACCCTGAGGACATGGGGAGCGGGATGCATGGGGCTGAACTGCCACCTTTCTGAGGATGTCAGAAGTGGGCACCAGGATGAGATGAAGCCCTTGTGCAGTCCTGGCTCTGCCCCTGGGTGGAGTGGGACACACAAAGGCAGTGGCCACACGACTTGTAGAATCCCAGACTGGTTTGGGTCGGAAGGGATCCGGCTGAAGGCCCAAGGAAGAGCCGTGCGTCCTTCCAGCCAAACCCACGTTCCTCCCCTGGGGGCACTGTCCTGGCTCAGGCTGCTTCTCTGATGGGACCTGCGGGCACTCTGGGGATGCAGATCCGGCAGCAAGAACACCCTCAGGAACAGGCATTGAATAAACCAGGTCAAACCCATTCCCATTGCCAGTCGTTCAATAAACTGCTTGTATCTCAGGGGTGAAGAGGGGACATCTCCACAGGGCTCCCATGGGATGTGTCCACTTGCTCGTTTTGGGATGAAGTGCCTGGCCGTGGGTGCACTGGGAGAGGAGCTGGAACATGTGCCTGTGCTCAGGATGCAGCAGTTGGCTCTGCTCTGTGTGCACATCAGGGGCAGTGGGGAGCAGGTCTGTGGGGCACAGGGGGTAGATTTGCCCTCTGGGGTGGGACCATATCTCATCAATGGGCTCCCAGTAGGGGGGGGGTGTCACCCTTTCCCTGGGCGGGAGGGGCAGAGGGACCCGAGGTTACAGCCCAAGCCCCTGTCACTGCATCCCTCCATGTGCCCACACCACCTCCTTGGGGACCCCTGCTCCTGTCCCCCATTGCAGTGTGTGATGCTTCCATGGAATGGGGGTCAGCACCCTACCCTCCCATTGCTGGCTGTGCAGTGGTTCAATCTCCATCTGCTTCCTCCCCATGCCCATGAGGTGTTTGCTCGCCCCCTTCCAGCCACATGCAGGCAGGTCCCACAAGCTCTCCTCAGAAAACAGCACTTTTAATAGTTCCTCTGGGTTCATTTTACAAGTCAGCAATGCAGAAATGTACAGACATTTACAGGGCACTGTACAGGCGGGTTCTCATATATTAGTGCTCTTGCTATATACATATGGTACAGCCTGCGGGAGGCCTCTGCTGAGGCAAAATCTGCACCCCGAGATGCTGCCCCAGGGCTGCCGAGCTCCTTTGGGTTGATTTAATCCAAGCTCGGTCCTGAGCCTTCCCGTGGGTGACAGCAGCCGGGGCAGGGCCGGGCACCCCCTTGCTTTGCTCACCCCATCTCTTTTAGAGGGTGTTGCAGGACAGAGATCCCCAGAGATGCTCTGGAGGGAGCAGGAGCAGCCTCTGCCCTGGTGGTGTTTCCGCCTCCCTGCTCCTCCTGCCTCAATGGCAGCCGCAGCTCCCGGCCACCATGTCATCATACTGCTTGAGGACCACGTTCTCGTCGTCATCGAAGTAGAGGAGGTTGATGGAGTAGAGCTTGTCGGGCACGCAGCAGGGGCTGCTCACCCCCTCGCTCAGCTTGAGCGCGTTGATGATGGACTGCACGGTGGCGTGGTTGGTCGGGCGCATGTTCTCGCCCAGCGGGAAGGGGCAGGAGCCTTTGCAGTGGTAAGCGTTGTACCCCCGTGGGGAGATGATCCAGCCTGACCATCCGATCTCCTCGAAGTCCACAGACAAGGGGTGCCTCTGGCAGGGCTGCAGCCGGTCCAGCGAGCGCGTGCTGCGCGGCACCGACAGCTTGGCGGGGACAATGGGGGTCTGAGGCTGAGAATCTGCCAGAAGGGAGCACCCGATACCATCAGCATCACACCAGCACGGGAGGCAGCCCCCACTGCCCACCCCTCCTGCAGGATCAGCCCTTTGGTCACAGCCTGCCTCCAGCCCCAACCTCTCAGCCCCATCTGCCACACTCATCAGCGTGAGCAAAGCCCAGATCTGCACAGACTAAAGCAGGAAGGAGATGGCCTCTCCCTCTGGCTGGAGAAGGAGCTTTGGATTTGACAGGCTGAGAGAGCTGGGCTGGGTCAGCCTGGAGAAGAGAAGGCTGCTTAAGGGGAGACCTGAGAGCAGCTCCAGTGCCTAAAGGGGCTGCAGGAAAGCTGGAGAGGGGCTTGGGACAAGGGCCTGTAGGGGCAGGCCAAGGGAGACAACCTGGGGCATGTGAGACCCACCTGGGAAGCCAGACATGGCAGGAGATGCTCCCCGGCGCCCATCATCTGTGAACAGGACCAACATTGGCTTCTTGCTCTCGTGGTGGTCCCTGCCAGATGCAAACTGCAGCGGAGGGGTCTCGAGGGGGCTGCCCCCCAGCCCCTGCACTGTCACCAGCAAACCCTGGTTGCTGCTTTCATCTTCAGTCCAGTCGAGAACCTGGGGGACCAAACCAGTGTCACTGAGGCACGAGACTGGGACAGGCTCCGTGCTGGTGCCCAGCTAGCAGAGCTGCTGCCCAGTCAGCGATGAAGAGGGGTGAATTGAGACCGATTCCCCCTGCATTGGCCACACTCCACGTCCCAGGCATGGGAAGGGGCTGTGCTGGGGATCAAAGGACATCGAGGCAGGAGCCAACACTTAGTGAACAGTGGGACGTGTCTGGGGCAGGATGCAGCATCCCTACAGGGCTCTTGTCTGCCCTCCACCCCCCGTCCCAGAGACTGCAGAGACTCCAGACAGGGAATTGCATTGGAGCCTGAAGGGCTGCTGGGAGATGGAAAGGGTTAAAACAAGCTCCTGCACCCAGCCCCAGGGTCCCCTCTGTCCGCCCGTGTGTCGTGCCCCCCCCCCGACCAAGGGCAAGCAACTCACAGCCTGGGTGATGGCGAAGACCTCCCAGCCCGAGCCCTGCAGCGGGACCAGCCTGGCCGCCAGCAGCTTCCTGCCCGCCGGCGCGGCCGCCTCGCTCCTCTCCAGCACTTGGTAGACGCTGACCTGGGGAGGCAGCAAAGGGGGTTAGAAACTGCCCGAGGGAGAGATCCCGGGCACAGGAACTGGGGCACACAGGAGGGGGGGAATTGGCAGCTTGGGTTTGTGCGAAGCGACGGGTGCTTTGGTTGCTGCACGCAGGAGCTGGAGTGATGGTCAATAACCGTCATGTGCACTGTGATGGCACTTGGTCACAGGAATTCCCAGCGACGTGCCAGTGGCAGCCCCACGTCCAGGCAGGGGCACACCGCAGCTTCCACCCCCGTCCTCATTCTGTCCCCATCCCACGTCCCCTCCCTGCCCCATCCCACCGCTCCTCACCTGGCACAAGTGGTGCCTTTTAGGGCCGTCGGTGACCCTAGGCCAGAGGCGGAAGAGGTGCAGCTCTGCCGTCAGGACCTTCTCGCTCCTGGCCACGCTGGAGAGAACGAAGAGGAACCGCATCTCCTCGCTCTGGGCTGGAGGAGAGACCGGGTTGAGGAGCAGAGACAAAGCACAGCCCCACCGGCACCGCAGGGACCCCCCAACCCTTACTCTTGTCCAGGAAGCTGCGGACCGTGTTGCCCTCCAGGATGTCGGGGTTCTTGGTGACTCCATCCGCGTTGGCGACGGTGTTGAACAGATCCACCATGTACTGGGGCGGCTGCTTGACGTGAGCCGGGGGGGGTGGGGGGTCTTCCATGCCAAAGACTTCCAGGAGCCTCTTCAGCGCCTCGGCTCTCCGGCTCTCGGCTCCGGCCGGGCTCGGGCACGCCGGCTCGGCCAGCGCCAGCAGCAGCAGGACGGTCCCCAGCATGGCTCTGCTGCCCCTGCCCAGCGCCGCTCCCCTCTGCCTCCCCCGAGCTGCATTTATAAGTGGCTGCAGAGATGGATTGGAGTCAAACCTGAGCTGGAGCAATCAGGAGGGCAAAGAGAGCTGATGGCCGTGCTAACAAGGTGTGAAGCTGGGCTCCGGCTGCTCCGCACCAATTAGCCCCAGTACACAAGTGGAGGGGAAGGTGACTCAGCCCGGGGCTGGTGGGGGGGACCCGGGGGTCTGGGGCCATGCAGCCCCTCTGCCAGGCCCTGGGTGGGCTGCGTTTGCTCTCCCCAGGAGACTAACGGGTATTTAATGATGGCACTAATGGGACAAACAAGAGGCCCTTTGTTGGGGCAGTGCAGCCCCGCAGAGACAGCAGCCCTGCCCCATCCCTGTCCTGCCACTGCCGGAGCAGCGGGGGGCTCGGTGTCCCCATGCCATGGCGTGTCCATGAGTGAAGCAGCGGCTGCGGCAGGAACCCACCAGCAGGAGGAACCAAACTGAACCTAAATTGCTGTTTAAATGGATGATGGGATAAAAGCCAATTCATTTGCCCTTATTCCCCAGTCACAGAGAAGCAGGCTGGTGAGGGTGGATGTGCTGGCCCACTTCTCCTTACGTTTGCCACTTCTTTTAATCCCATGTGACTGAACAGAAAGAATTCCTGTTATATGGTACTCACCAGTGCACCAGATAAACAGAGCAGGATTAGAAAGGCCCGTTAGATCCCATAGGGAAGAGGAAATCCACCTGGGAATGAGGCCCACGGGGGTGGGCTCTGTAAGAAGCCTGGCACAGAGAAGGGAAGGTGCAGGAGCAGAGCCAGCACCGTCCATCTGTCTGTCTGCAGGTAGGGACAGAGCAGCACCGAAGGGCTCCAAGACAGCACACCAGGAGACAACCTGAAGGCTACTTCCCAGTTGGTGTCTGTGATTTATTCTAACCCAATGCTTGGCAGGTGAAAGGGATGTTCATTATCCGGAACAGGCAACGGCAGGCTTGAGTTAACTGAGAGAGGAAACTCTTCCTGACCTCTGGATCCTTTCTCTCTGCTTCCCAGCTCAGCAGCATGTCCTGCAGTTTAACTGGGGTTGCCCACAGATGACTCCCTGCTCCACCGTTGCCTCTGTACCGTTTTCCTCTCCTCTTTGACTCCTGCTTCCCACTCTCTAAGCGTGCACCCCCAGCCCATGCCAGATGGCTGCATCCCACCACATCCCAGTGCATCCCCTGGATGCTGGGGCAGACAGAGGGGCCTGGAGCTGCGCAGCAGAGCCCAAGGAGCTGCGAATTGCATTGCCCCCCCCCCCCCCCCCCCCCCCCGTTGTTTTACAAGCTGCAAACCATTTTGGAGAAGGCTTCACTTCTACAGGAGCTGTTTCAAACAGCTACATTCAACAAAGCCCACATGAACGGCCTTGTCACATTTACATAGAGCACAGACAGTCTGGGGGGTCTGGCAGGACCCCCTCCTGCAGCTCTCCAGCCCTGCTTCCCCCTGCACTTGCACTGCTGGGGGGGCAGGGTGGTGCAAGCGTGGTCTTGGTGCCTCTGAAGGAGAGGGCACTGCATCAGTGAGGGCTGCGGTGCTGGAGGCAGCTCGGCCCAAAGCAGGCGTTTCCCTCTGCCTTGTGAGTTAGAGAGAAACCCAGTGCCTGCCCTGGGGAAAGGGGCATCCACCTGGGCATCACACAATCACAGAACCCCAGCCTGGTTTGGGTTGAAAGGGACCTTAAGGCTCCTCCAGCTCCAGCCCCTGCCATGGGCAGGGACACCTTCCACTAGAGCAGCTTGCTCCAAGCCCCATCCAACCATCCTCATCCTCATCCTCAGGTTACACTTTGTCCGCCGTGCTGCTGTGGCACTGCTGCAAGCGCTGCTCTGCTCCAGCCTTGTCCCCACACAGGCACAGCCCAAGGGTGAGCTGTGGGTGCTCCTGTGTCACCCTCCCAGACCCTGCCCCGGGAGCAGCGGATGGATCACCCAGAGAGGAATGGGAGCAGCTCAGCCCCACCTCTGGATGTGTGCAGCTGTGCTTACCTAAGCGAGCAGCATCCCCTGAGGAGCAGCTGCCCAAGCACCTTCTTACCCCCATTTCCTGCAGAGATTTGCAAAACAAAGGCATGAATATCCCCTGCAGCACCTCAGTGGGACACCCCAGGGGACCCTCGGACCCCCGCATCCTCCAGCTGATCCTACAGCCCCAGGAAAGGGCAGCAGAGCTTGGAAGCAGAAGTATTTGGGGGGGACACAGCAGTGGGTTTTGAATCCGAGGTCCCTGTGCACAAAGGTACCTTGAGGTAGGGAGCAGAGGCTCTGCTGAACTGAGCTTAAGATGTATTTGAGGATTAAGTAATTGTGAGTTCATCTGCAAGGGACCACAAAAGAAATCCGATATGAGGAGCTGCAGCATCTTCCCTGGGGGGTCTGCTGTGGGGCACAGACACAACATCACGCTCCAGTATCCAACACCCAGCATGGGAAGTGCTGTTACCTGTGTGAGGGTCCCCACGTGGGAATCTGGGCTCATTCCTCCATCAGGGCAAGGCCTCAGTAATAGGATTTATTCCTCCATCTCAGTTTCAGTGCACAGGGCAAAGAGGTTGTTCTGGGTGCACACAGTGAACCCTGCACTTGAGCCTGTGAAAGCCCCATCTTTGGGGCTGAGCTGTTACACATTAGCTTGGAGAAAAAAAGGTCTTGGAACATGAAATATCCACGGCAGCGCTTTTTTCCAGATACACCAGGGAGCTGGGACAGCATCACATGGGATCATCCAGCATTTCTTTTAGGCTGACAGCTGGGCTGGGGCAGCCTGGAGAAGAGAAGGCTCCTGAAGGGGATACCTGAGAGCAGCTCCAGTGCCTAAAGGGGCTGCAGGAAACCTGGAGAGGGGCTTGGGACAAGGGCCTGTAGGGACAGGCCAAGGGGAATGGCTTTAACCTGCCCCAGGGGAGACTGAGATGAGCTCTTAGGCAGAAGCTCTTCCCTGTGAGGGTGCTGAGGCGCTGGCACAGGGTGCCCAGAGAAGCTGTGGCTGCCCCATCCCTGGCAGTGCTCAAGGCCAGGTTGGACACAGGGGCTTGGAGCAAGCTGCTCCAGTGGAAGGGGTCCCTGCTCATGGCAGGGGTTGGGGCTGGAGGAGCTTTAAGGTCCCTTCAACCCAAACCATCTGGGATTCTGTGTTTCTGTGCAAGGGCAAGGGGTGGAACCGGCTCTGGGGCTGCAGGACCAGTTCCTGCCTTGCCTTTACTTTCCCTATTCAAGCTTTAACACCATGACAAATTCCCAGGATAAAACCCCTGTTCTCTGGGATTCGACATAGTCTGATTCTTAAGGAAGAGATGCAGAGTGAAGAGGGGCTTGGGGTGGACATGGCCCACATCCTGCTGCCATGTCACCTCCAGGCCAGGACACACCACCTCCATGGCAGGTCCTGGCTGGCCCAGACAGGGGCTCAGGAGCTGGGGAGGGAAGGCAGAGGCTCCTCAGCAATAACTCCTGTCCAGCTGAAGGAAGTGGGCACAGGCTGTGCTGCCTGGCTCAGTCCATCTGCTCAATCTCTGCTTTTCTCTCCCTCAGCAAGTGAATTAGGATTAAAACCCATGGAGGGTGAGAAGCTTGGCTAAGTCAGTCTTGGGCTTTGTCTCTAAACAGGACCTTGTCTTACCCTGTGCCAGCCCCTGGGTGCAGGTCCTTCAGGGTTTGTGTTTGGGTCCTGCCTTTAAACTGGTTGTGGGAGTTTCCTGCCCCCTCCCAGCTACTTCAGCTGCTGGAGGAGATTTTGTCCCAGGAGGTGTTTTCAGGAGAGGGAAAGGCACTTTCTGAAAGGAAATCTCTCAGCGATGCCTTAAGAAGGGGGCACAAAATGACCCCCGATTTCTGGAAGCCGGTGTTTCTGGGTGAGACTTGAACATCCTCCTCCAGGCATCCTCTGACGTTGCCAGTCTTTAACATGACACTGAAAGTGTCAGCCGCACTTCCCAGGGGGAAATCCAGAAGGAAAGTGCTGAGACCTGCCCGAGGGCAGAGGCAAAGCTGGGGCTGAGTCCACATTTCCCAGCCCTGGGCCATTATCGCTGAATGAGCCACAGTCCATTAACCAACCCTGGGGACAACAGCTCCGGCCAGCACCTTCCAGTCCCACGTCTGGGCAGCAAATGCTGATTGCCCACCTCTGGAAGCAAGCACTTCTCGCTGCCTAATTCCCTTTTCCACTTGCTGTGTCTTGCAGCTGCAGCACACAAGCCACAGGGTGCAGGGGAGCCGATGCCTCCTCCCACATGGACCAGCATCGTCAAGCAGAGCCCTTCTGTGGGGTGGTTTTCTCCTCCACTCCCTGTGGCTTCCCCAGCCCCTCACGCTCAGGCCCCTTTGCTGCTTTCCCACTTCAGAGGAGGACTTGCCCAGGTCTCTGTCCCTCTCTAGCGGCTGTTGCACACAGGAGCTGCCCGAGAGGCCTTAACCAGATGGTTTCAATGCAGAAATGCCACTGAGCTGACATCAGCAGATTCCAGGAGCTGATTCTACCAAGCAGTGCTGGAGGATTGTTTCCACAACTTTCCCTTCTGATACAAACGCTTCAGCTCATCTTCACCGCTGTGACTTGGGTTCTGCTGTGTGTGGGCTCCCAAGGCAGCCCAGGATAAAGCAGTTCAGCATTAGCCCAGTGGAAGGTTTTGACCTGCCTGGAAAGATTTAGTTTGGATTTTCCATTTTTGAGTGGTTCTGAAACATCCTTGGGGCCGAGATGAAAGATTTCAGACCATCAGGAAGGAAACTCCATTTTTTAGTGCTCTGCTTTTGGTAGAGTTTTTATCAGCTTGTCTGATGCTTTGAGAGGGAGGGATGGACACCCCCTGAGCTCCCTCCCTGCTGCATGACTGAGGCCAAGGGAGGCCACGGAGCTGCTGCGAGGCCTGGAGCAGCTCTGCTCTGGAGCCAGGCTGAGAGAGCTGGGCTGGGTCAGCCTGGAGAAGAGAAGGCTCCTGAAGGGGAGACCTGAGAGCAGCTCCAGTGCCTAAAGGGGCTCCAGGAAACCTGGAGAGGGGCTTGGGACAAGGGATGTAGGGACAGGCCAAGGGGAATGGCTTTAACCTGCCAGAGGGGAGACTGAGATGAGCTCTTAGGCAGAAGCTCTTCCCTGTGAGGGTGCTGAGGCGCTGGCACAGGGTGCCCAGAGAAGCTGTGGCTGCCCCATCCCTGGCAGTGCTCAAGGCCAGGTTGGACACAGGGGCTTGGAGCAAGCTGCTCCAGTGGAAGGGGTCCCTGCCCGTGGCAGGGATTGGGACTGGAGGAGCCTTAAGGACCTTTCCAAGGTGCCAATGACACTTGGGTTGTTACTGTGACACCATTCTGGCATTCAAAATAGGGCTTTGGGGTTGGGGGGGGGGGGCAGGGCTACAGGTCCAGCAATCACAGAAATTGTTGGAAGCTGCACACCAGTGAGAAAAAGCTCAATCTCCCTGGAGCTCACACAGCTCCCGAAGGACTGGGCCTCATGTACGGAAACAACAAAAGCAAAGTACTGTTAGAAGGCATCCTGACAAACCTACCCCATCACCCCAGTGCTGCAGGAGCCCCATCCCTGCATCCCAGCAGCGCGGAGGAGAAATCAGAAACCAGCTCTTCAACCAAAAAATATGTATTAAAAGGAAATGAATCGTGTTTGGCCAAGAAACAGACATGTACAAATTAAACACAGTTCCATCGCAAACCATTGCCCATGTTGGAGCTTAGCCACCCTCCACTCACAGCTCTCAGGTGCTGCAGGGACCTGGTGAGAGCTCTGAGCAGCCCCCACGCAGGCAGGAGGACACCAGGAAATGACTCAGAAAGTTATGGAAAAAGGAATTAAGAAAATAATGATGCATTTTAAATAAAGAGCTTACAATGACTTAAACTTCATACAAAATACGATGGCTGCCATTTCAGGTTCTCAGTTCTAAGAACCATGTTTGAACTCTCAACATCCTGTTTGGCACCCTGTGTCCATCTCTCTACTGCTCCATCGCTGTCCAGCTCAATCCAAAGTACCTACAAATGAAAAGAGTATTAAAACATACAGCCTCAGGCCTCAGCAGTGCAGCTGTGACCTTGTTCACAGCTGCCAAAGGAAGACGCAGGAACTTCTTACAGTTTAAGCAAATCACATATGAGGTAAACCCAAATCTAGCTACAAAGTGGTGCACGTCTCAGGGTCCACTTCAGTTGTGTTTCACCTTTCCAAGAGGGGCCTAACAACTCACACTATTGATTATTAAAGGTGTGGAAACAGAGGACTCTGTAAGCGAGGAAGTTCTTTCCCCCCCATGAAGGAGATCACGCAAAATATTGAAACCAAGTAGGAGCTCACCTTCCAAAAAAGCAAATTCATCAATAGCTTCAATGGCGTTATCTGCAAAGCAAATGGAAACCAATTAACATGGATAAACCCACCCCACACTGCACCTGCTTCAGACAGCAGCAGCCGGAAGCACACTGCACTACAGTGACCAACTGCAAAGAGGCTGACTTGGTCTGGAGCTGGTGTGTGAGATTACTGCCATCAGCATTGGTAGAAGAGAAGCTTTCCTTTCTCTGAAGATGGGAGAGAAAGAGAAGCACCTACGGTTGCTCCATCACACTGGGACAGGGGGGAGCATCCATTGCCAAGCACAAAACAGAATGATCTCTCATACCCAGGTCTTTTCTCTGCAGAGTTTTCCTTTTTCCTTGCTGAGCGTACACGTAAGCATCTTTGGCGATGGTCTCAACAAACAGCTCCTGCAACACAAACACAAGACAGCTTCACACGGGGGCGAGAGAGCGAAGAGAGAACATCCCGAGGCAAGGCAAGGTCCCGCAGGTCTGCAGGAAGGAACCCGAATCTCCATCTTCACAACTCCCCTTTCCCAACAAGTGGGTCTGAAAACGACAAACGCCACTGCTGGGCAGCGATGCACGGGAGGAGACTGCAGAGCTCTGGGAGCCCAGCTACACCCTGTGCTCCTGGGCACATCCTGCGGGAGGAAAGGTCTCGGCAGACGCATGGGTTGAGCAGAGCCGCCCTCGCACGCGGTTACCTCCGCTGTGGGGAGCAGATGCCCGGAGGCCAGGGCCGACCCACACGATGCCGAAGCCACCCCACAGGCAGCCCTGGCTGTGCCATGGCAGACCCCTCCCGAAGGAGGAACCCCCGCTCTGCTGCACCCTGCTCCGGTGCGCACTCAAACCCAACCCGTGCCAGCGGAGAGGGGGCTGGAAACCCCCTGAGCGGGCACAGGGCTCTGCGGACACAGAGAGCCCCGCGCCTCCGGGGCTCTGCCCGCTGCCTGCCCGCTCCCTGCCGGGCTCTGCCCGCTCTCTGCCCGGGCTCTGCCCGCTCCCTGCCGGGGCTCTGCCCGCTCCCTGCCCGGGCTCTGCCCGCTCCCTGCCGGGGCTCTGCCCGCTCCCTGCCCGGGCTCTGCCCGCTCCCTGCCGGGGCTCTGCCGGAGCTCTGCCCGCTCCCTGCCCGGGCTCTGCCCGCTCCCTGCCGGGGCTCTGCCGGGGCTTTGCCCGCCCCCTGCCCGCTCCCTGCCGGGGCTCTGCCCGCTCCCTGCCCGGGTCCGCGGGGGCGGGGGCGGGAGAGGAGCCCCAGGGGAGCCGCAGCTCCGGGGCCCGCCCCTGTCCGCCTCCCGCCGCCCCCCAGGGCCCCCGCGCCGGTGCCACCGCCCCTCACCGTGGCCCGCGCCAGCACGAACACGGCCTCGTGGCTCGCCAGGCTCACGTCCGGGTCCGCCTTCACCAGCGCCTTCACCCGCGCCAGCGGCAGCCGCGCCCCGCGGGCCGGGCCCGGGCACCCCGGCCCCGCCGCCTCCTCCCCCGGCCCCGCCGCGTCCGCCCCCGGCCCCGCCACCGGCCCCGCTGCGGGCACGGCGCCCGCCGCCGCCGCCATCCCGCGCCCCGCGCCGCGCCTGCGCGGGACCCGCGGGCGGAGCGGGGGGAACGGGCGGGGAAGGCCCCGGCGCTCGGCTCGGCCCTGCCTGGGGCGCCCCGCGGCCCCCCCAGCACCGCCTCTGTGCCCCGCGCCGGGCACAGGCCTTGGGCTCCCATCGCCCCTGCGCCCGGGGGGGCTTTGGGACCTCCCCATCACCCTCGTGCCCCCGGACCGTGAGGGTGGCACAGGGTGCCCAGGGAAGCTGTGGCTGCCCCATCCCTGGCAGTGCTCAAGGCCAGGTTGGACCCAGGGGCTTGGAGCAAGCTGCTCCAGTGGAAGGGGGTTGGAGCTGGAGGAGCTTTAAGGTCCCTTCATCCCAAACCATTCTTCCATTCTATGGAACACGGCTCTCTCCATCCCACCTGTGCCGGGTGGGGTCAAACCCTCCATTGGGCGCTCACCACCCCGTGCAGGACCCCTGGGGATGCCACCCTTGGCCAGCGCACGCCCATCCCAGCTTTCCCCCCCGTCCTTGATGCAGTCATCCGCAGGCGCTGCTGGAGGGATGCGCTGTCCCAGAGCAAGGACATCGGTGCCTGCGGGCAGCCAGAGCATCCCTGCCTGTGGCCTCGCTCAGCCTCAGAGCTTTCCTGCCTCTGAGGCAATGAACCGTGAAAGCAGGACATTTCAACACGGAGATGGCCCAGCCTGGCACCGTGCCGTACAGGGTGCTTCCCCTGCTGCCAGCAGAGGTTGGCTCTTCAATGGAGCAAACGTCCTTTGAATGTGGGTATGTTGGAGAGCCGCAGCCTTCACCCCTGCCCTCCTGCAGAGCTCGGCTGTCCAGGGCTGTGCTGGTTTGGCTGTGCAACCCCTGTGAACCACCTCCACCTTCTGCAGGTCCTGGGGGGCTCTGAAGACCTGCCCTGCATGGGGTTCTCTTTGGCCACCATCAGATGAGAATGTGCTCCCAGCCCATCCCTCGCATCCAAGTCACTCCGTGAACCCAGGCTCTTTTCTGGATGAGATTTTAAGCACAGCAGGGCTTGGTGGGCTTCAAGCTTCCCAACAGCAGCAGAGCCCAAGCTAACTGCACCAAGAACTGCTCCTCCTCCTCTTCCTCCTCCACGTGCTCTTTCATGGTCAGGCTACAGCGGCTTCCTGGAGTTGCACACAGCTCCTCACCAGCCGTTAGGAAGGAGCTGCTGGTTTCAGGCGAGGGGCACCTCGGAGAGGCTCCCCTTGCGTGAGTCCTTCTGCTTGGGTGCCTCTGGTGGCCTTCAGGGAGGAGGAGAGCACGCAGGAAAGCATCCGCTGATGGAAAATGGTGAGTAAGAACCAGAGCTGGGCTGTGCTGGACCTGGGGATGGGGCAGAGGGAGCAGAGCCGTGTGTCCTGCTTGGAAAGGCTTTGGGAGGATTCGTATGAGGGGCTGGATCATGTTGGGATCCTCACTCCTCCTGGAACACCAAGTCCAGGAGGACATTGTACATCTGAGCTGGTCGGAGCTTCCAGGGTCTCTGACCAGTTCCTGGGCTGGGTGAAGCTGGGGCGGACACAAACATCTGTGAAGGAGGCAGAGCACCACCAGATTCCAAATGTGTTGGAAAACCTGGAGTCGATCACAGTGACCTGAGGGCTCTGTGCCAGGGCAGTGGCTCCAAAGCTACTGGTTACAAACCTCTGAATCATTCAGGTGCCAAAAATCCCAGTGGCTCCTTGGAGAATGTGGAAGAAGTCACTTTTGGGTAAGAGCCTGGTGTGCCTGGAACAGTGAATTTGTGCTGCTACAGCACAGGCTACTCCCGGAATGCTGCTTACAGCACTTAGCAGGGAAATTGGGGTGAGTGCCTAGGGCTGGGAGGGGAAGTGGCACCGCTGAGGTGCGTGTATACAGTTGTACATCTACATTTCTGAAAGTCCTGCACTCGCTTCTTTGCATAAGAGCCTTTCTGTTGTGACAGAGAAGAATTGCGCAAGCACGAACCCAAACTGAAATCCCAAAGGAGGAGAGCTTCAAAAATCAAAGCCTGTACCTTGCCAAGGGCAAGCAGGGCAGCCAGCCCCAGTGCAGAGGGACACTGTGTCTGTGGACAAGGTGGGGGAGAAAGGAGAAGGAGGGTAAGAACAGTGGAATAGAATCATGGAATCCCAGACTGGTTTGATTTGGAAAGGACCTTAAAGCTCTGGAGCAGCTTGCTCCAAGCCCCTGTGTCCAACCTGGCCTTGAGCACTGCCAGGGATGGGGCAGCCACAGCTTCTCTGGGCACCCTGTGCCAGTGCCTCAGCACCCTCACAGGGGAGATAATCTCTCCTTTCCCGTAAAGTCCATCTAGGAAGCTTGGGAAAAATGTCAGCCCCATCCCAGCCAAGCTTTGTGCCGTCCTCAAACCTGGCACCCTCTGAGACTCATTCAGCCTCCTCCTGGCAGCCTTTCTCTGGAGGCTTCAGAAATAAAGGTGCTTTGTGGTCATTCAGGAAGCTGGGGCAGCTCTGCGCTGTGGCCTGCATGTCTCGGTTCGCTCGGATGCGCTGTGAGCAGCACAGGAAACGCACTGGTCACAAAAGTAGGGCAGAGCTGCTGCTGCTTGGCTGTTTTCTGCACCCACCTTTGGCAGCCTGAGTGTCAGCAGCACTGTCCTGCGTTTTCCTCCTGCTGATGGCTCCCAGTGTTCTCCCCCACCAGCTCCTGCCCCACTGCCCTGAGTTCACCATGAACTTCATGGGACCCAGGACCAGGGCAAGGAGTGTTGTGGAAGGTGTCCCTGCCCATGGCAGGGGGTTAGAACTGGATGAGCTTTGAGGTCCCTTCCAACCCAAACCAGGCTGGGATTCTACGTTCTAGGACCACTTTGAGCACATTTCATGGAGAAGGCTTAGCGTGAGGCCATGTTGAAGAAATACTGCATTCCCCAGAGGAAGACTTTTGACTCGCTTCCCTCCCTGGTGTTTTAACCAGAGCTTTCTTCATGCTTGCAGACACATCTGGAGAGGAAAGAGGCCGTGGTGAGGCACCTACAGGCAAAGCTCCAAGGGAACAGGAGAGACCCTCCCATAGTGGGTGGCTGCCCCGAGAGCCAGTCTGCAGCGTCCCTTGCAACAGAGCCAGGCCAGACCCCCCTGCCAGAGGCCCCCTGGAGCAGGAGGGTGGACTTCAGCAGGGCTTCTCCATCACACAGTAAAGGTGTGGGACCGTGTTCACCTCCTCATTCCAGCACCGAGCCCCCGGGGTGGGTGGTGCAGCTGAAGAAGGGCACTGCTCAAGGTGGCAGCTTCCACCCAGCCCCTGCCAAGCCAGGAGGAGGAGATGTGTTGAGCAAGGAGGTGGGAGGCACGTCTGATCCTCCCCGGAGAAGCTCAGCCCAGCAGGCACGGCCGCTCGCCAAAGAAGGGGGTGCTCCAGCAGTTCCTGTGCAGCCTGGGCACCCAGCTCAGCCTTGGAGGAAGCCTTTGCCACACATCAAGGCACTGGGAGCAAGGCCAGCCAAGCCCAGGCGTCCTCCTGTTGTGGATCTGGAGAAGTTTGGTGCATCTGCACATCGTGGGATGCCCATCCGTCTGGCCACGGAGGCACCAAGGGGTGCTCAGCTGGGTACGGCCACAAGAGTAGAGCTTCTCTGCCTTTCCTTTAGGGAGCTGCAAAACTGAGCCATGTCCTGGGCAATGATGCTCCTGAGCACATGGAGATATCTGGGATTTGCCCTGACTCTGGTACAGGTCTGAAGTTCAGGGGTTTCACCACATTCAAAATACTCATTTTGGTCTCTTCCTTCCCCTTTCATCACTGCTCCAGGGAGAAAGTAGCATTAGGGGCATAAGAATTGGAAAAACACATCTAAAAACTCCTCTCTGGATCCTGATTGCAGTCAGTATTAGCTCTCCTCATCCTTCTGCACTGAATCTAGCCCAGGGAGGCTCTGAGTTTAGGGTGGGTGATAGAGTTGAAGCAAGAATGTGAAATAATCCCTCACTGCTCCCTCCTGTTCCTCTTTCTACCATAGGCCACCCCAAACCAGGCTATGCCACATCAGCCCCAGCACGGTTCCCAACACAGGATGCTTCAAGTGTAACAGGGTAAGGACCAAGGCAGCACTTTTATTCTAGGTGGCTTCCAGCCTGTCCAACCCAGTGGGAAAAGCTGGCACATGGCACAGAGCTGCTGTCCCACTCTGCCCCAGACCTGGGACTCACAGGCAGCCCAGCCTCCTCCTGGTAGCTTTCATCCTGCTCTTGACCCCTTGAGCTCACTGCAACAGGGCTTTGTAATCACCCTCTTCCTCCTCACAGGGGTGAAGATGAGATATATGATGATGTAGAGCCTGCTGGGCTCATCAGGAGAGCCCAAGGCTTTCTACTGTCCCCCACGTGCCAGCCGCCAGCAAATCCCTGCCCCAGAGGAGGTGGGTACAGGAGGGTGTGGGGTGAGCACTGCAGCTCAGGGAGCCTCGACACTCCAGCAAGCCCTGGGCAGCAGCAGAGCCCACTGCTCCTGTGCATGGGAGGCTGATGGGTTCTTTGCTGCCTTGTAAATGGGCATGGGAAGCCCTGATCCCTCCAAGCTCAGGGGGCAAAGTCAGGGGTTGATCCCAAGAGGAGAAGGCTCCTGTGTCCTGTCTCAGCAGGTGTCTAACACCTTGCAGCAGCCTCATGGCAGCACCTCTCCTAGGGTTTGCTTTTACAGGTGAAGATGCTGGTCGAGCCTCTAAGGGGTTTGCCTTGCTGGCAGCTGCACAGAGGTAACCAGGGGGGTTTACTCTTTCTGAGGGTCCCAAAATAGCCAGGGCTCCTTGCTGCTTGGACAAAGCTGGTGGTTGAATGCTCTCTGCTGGGCTTGCAATGGAAATCTCCATGGTGAAGAGCACAAGTGGCTGGTTTAAACCTGGCCCCAGAGCCCCTGAGTGGGTGATGGGAAATGTGATGGGGCTGAGGGGGAGAAGGGGAAGGAGAAGGGAGGGAACAGAGTGTGGGTTCCCCTGAGCTTTCCTGTGACTCACAATGGCTCTGCAGAGAAGCCCAGGTCCCCCGGAAGATGAAGCCAATGACACTCAAGGAATGCAAGAAGGAAGAGAAGGCAGACAGGGAGTTTCAGAAGAAATTCAAGGTGAGCAGCAAGGCAATGGCAGGGGAGCTGTGCTGCACAGAGACCAGCTCACACCTTCCCTGTTCCCCACTGAAATGTCCCCAGATCAGACCAGCCCCACACACGAGTTGCCTTGCTTTTTCCAAGGGAGAGTGGATGGAGCTGCCCGGCTCACACTGCCCTGGGGGCAGCTGCTGAGCTGCAGCACTCACTGCTCTTTGTGTCTCAGTTTGAAGGAAGCATCAGTGTCCTGACTCAGATGATGGTCGACCCCGCGGTGACAGAGAAAAGGGGTGGAGGGAAGAACCTGCCACTGAGACGAGGAGAAATTCTTGATGTTATTCAGTTTACAAACCAGGAGCAAATCCTCTGCAGAAACAGCCAGAGGAGGTGTAAGCCTGTGGGGGCTGAGGCTTTGCCTTAGCGGGGATCACAGCACACACAGCTTTGGGAACAAGTTTCTTCATGCAGACATGCACCAGCAGACAGCAGAAGCATGCCCTTAGCCATGGCATGTACCCTGGCTCTCCAGTGCTCCCACTTCTCTTTGCAAAACATCCTACTCTTCTTCCTGCCTGGTGCCAGCATTCCAGCTGCTAGCCAGGCTTCTTGTCTCCCTCTGCTAAAAGCACTTCCCACAGTCTCTTGGCCACCAGCCTGGCTTTGCAGTAGGCATGGGCTCCACAAGCCACGTTTGCACTGGACTGTAGCGACAGAACAAGGGGTAATGCCTTGTACTTAAACAGGGGAAGTTCATGTTAGATATAAGGAAGAAGCTCTTCCCTGTGAGGGTGCTGAGGCGCTGGCACAGGGTGCCCAGAGAAGCTGTGGCTGCCCCATCCCTGGCAGTGTTCAAGGCCAGATTCTATGGTTCTATGATGCTCAGGTGAAATGGGCTGCAGATCCCATCAGCAGAGAGACTGGGATCAGGCTCTTCCCAGCCAGCTGCCACCCAGCCTGGCAGGTTCATTCCCTTGCATTGCCTCCAGCAGGTTCCTCCCAGGGGTCCAGCTTCCAAGAGCCAAGCTCTTCCTTGTCCCAGGCTCTCCCATGGGATGCAAGACGTTGCTAAACTCTGTCCTGTGCAGGGGCAGGTCCTGGGGTGCGTCCCCACTCATGCCCCAACTCCTGGCACAACCTGAAGTGCTTTTCCTCACTGTTGCAGATGGCTATGTGCCCCGGACCGTGATGCTACACCTGTGAGTACCCCTTCCCCAGCCCTTTCTCCTCCCTCCATGAGCTCTAGCAATTGCCCAATGGGTCCCCAGCACCAAACCAGCCCTGGCCATGGGCTGCCAACTCAAAACCATCCAACCCAGGCAGTTACCATAAGTGTAGCATCAGACACTTACCCTGGGCTGGGAACCTGCTGTTTCTGGTGAGGTTCACCACCCATGCACAACGGGAGAGGAGCCAGAGCCGTGCTTACCCCATGCCAGAGGATCCCATCTCTGTGGGGAGAGCCCAAGGCTGGGAAGAGGTGAAGGGATCCGTTAGGAGAGGCGGGACACGTGTGGAGCAGGAGCTGGCCCTTGCCTTGGCTCACAGCACCCTTGTCTTTCCTTGCAGGGACACTGACATCTATGACGATGTCGAGATTTACGGTAGGCATGGAGGGAGCTGCTGCTGTAGCCCCTTCACCAAGCAGTGAGCCCCACAGCAGCACTGGGGCCTCCCCTCCTGCCCTCTTGCCGTTTCGCCACTTTCCCTCTCTCCTTTCCCGCTCTGTGATTCCCTCTCTGGGACATCCCTCCCTTGCTCTTAGTTCCCCACAAGTCCCCGTGTTCCCCTGTTCACAATGCTTTGGACTTCCCCTCACCCTTTTCCTTCTCAGCTTGCTCCCTCCCCCTGCTGCCAGCCCCACGGGGCTCTCTGAGACGTCCCTGGTCCCCTGGACAACTCAGGGACACCCTTTCCCAAACGGTTTCTCACTCCCAGCATTCACATTCCATCCCCTGGCTCACAGATGGAGCTGAATAGAAACAACTGTATTTCAGCTGTACTGAGGAGCAAATGTTTTATCTGGCAGGGTGAGGATCCATGGCTAAAACCAAAGGTACAAGACACCACCGACAGAGACCTCCCCAAGGGTCAAAATGTGATCCAGGTCACACCTTCTCTGTGGCTTTGTTTTGTCTGTGTAAAATATGGCAACAGTATGAGATGGGCTTGTGGTCTTATTGGGGGGGGTGTGTTTAAAATCTGGGCAGAGAAGTTTTGGTTCAGAGAGGTTTTCATGTTTCCCATTCCCAGAGCATCCTCAGCTGGGAACAGCGCTGTATCCCTGAGCCCACCCCCCCATCCTTCACCTGCTGTCCTGCCCTGGAGAGTTTCCTCTCCCCCAGCCTGTGTTTGTGCTGGGGACTGCCCCAACCCCGGGGCAGGAAGTTGCACTTGGCCTTGTTGAGCTCCATGAGGGTCCCATGGTCCCCCCTCTCCAGCCTGTCCAGGTCCCTCTGTATCCCATCCCTTCCAGCACATCAACTGCACCACACAGCTCAGTGTCACTGGCAAAATTCCCCACTGGACATTCTCCAGTTCCTGGGAAACAGTCTTCCTCTGCAAGCTTTGTTCTCATGAAGCCCTTAACAGATGTGGGGCAGGAGGTGATCCTTTTGGATCGGGAACTGTGATGGGAAAGGTGCTCGGGCTGAATCCCTGCTCCCAGCCTGCAGCACGCAGCCTGGTCCTGGTGGGGGTGGAGGGTTCAGCACTGGCACGGCCGGATGCCAAGCCCAGATTAACCATTGAAGACGTCACTTTCCATTATGGGAAAGGCTCCCAAAGAGCCCTGGAGCTTTTGGTGCCTGGGATTAGCCTCCGGTGTGCTCAGCTCTGGGTGAGGGGCCAGGGTCTGGCAGCGTGGTGGTGCCGGCACGATGAGCAGGGCCAGGAGCTGCTCTGAGGGGCTTTGCCTGGGCAGCTGAGGGTGACCATGTGGGAGCAGGTCAGGAGAGCTTTGCTGGACTCGCTGTCCACGGCCTTCCTGCGGGTCTGGAAGTGGGCACGGGCTTTCTGGCAGAGAAATGGCCTCCTGACGCTCTCCATGCTGTCTGTTGTCACCGGCTGCCTCCTGGGGTTCCTGCTGCGAGCACTGGAGCTGACGGAGCTGGTAAGTGTGACCAGGATGGGGATGGGAGTGAGCAGGATGGAGCAGGGCAGGTGGGGCAACCAGCCCCGGTGCTGGCAGCACATCAGCATCGATGGCCCCAGATGGGCACAGCCCAGAAGCAAAGGCTCCTGCCCAAGAAACCTGCTTCTCTGGGCAGGTTTCTCCCAATGGCTTTTCTTCGGGTTATTTTGTGACCCAAAAGCTGCCATCAAACACCAACGCTGCAGAAGAAATCCTGCATCCCTCCGCTGGGAGCAGAGGCTGTGGGATGGACCCTAAGGGGCTGCAGGAACCTCCAGGTGGGATGGGGATGGGGATGGGAAAGGAGGGAATGGATGCTCCGTAACACAAACAGCAGTGCTGGGGTCTGAGGGCTCCACTCTCCCCAGCTGTGCAGATGCTCAACCAAAGCACGTTTCTTCCCTCTGGAGATGACCCAGCCAATAAATAGGGGGTAGTGGAGAGCCGGGGGAAGGGGGGGGGGGGGAGGGGTCACCTTCCCCTGAGCACCCCCGGAGACCAAGGCAGTGAAGAAAATGCACCTAAAAGGTGTTTGCTCAGCGCTTTCTAGGAGCTGTTCAACATCACCGGGCCAAAACCCAGGCGGTTCAATGACATTGGGTGGCTTGGCAGAGGCTCAGCCCTGATCTTCAGCCAGGCCTCAGGGAGAGCTCATCTGGCCCTGCAGCACCCCACGTCACCCGCTGGGGTTTAGCAGGGTCCTGTCACTTCAATTACACCTCCAGCATCAGCCGCCCGCAGCAGGGGAGCTCGGTACTGCACTGATGCTGCTGTAATCCCCTGCACCCCGGTGCAGATGGCGAGAGCAGTCACCCACCCCCAAGCCGCGGGGCTCCTGCCCTTGTCCTGCCGTGCGCCGAGCCCATCCGCCCTCTGCCCCAGCCCCATACCATCCTCCTGCCACAGCCCTGCACGTGGTCCCCAACAGCCATGATGGGAAAGGGTCAGGAAGCTGAGAAACCCGCTGGGAAAAGAGATGCTGCTCAAGTCACTGCTCCTCGCACCCCCTGCACCAGCATGGTTTGCCTGGGCAGCCCCCCAAAGCTCCATGGGGTTGATTGCTTCAGAGTAACCCAAAGTACCTGCTTGACTTGAGGCCATCTCAGGTCCATCCCTGACACCTTTACAGCGGCAGTGATGGAGGGATGGATGGTGGATGGATGGATGAATGGATGGATGGATGGATGGATGGATGGATGATGGATGGATGAGATGGTGGATGGATGGATGATGGATGGATGGATGGATGGATGGATGGAGGGATGAGATGGTGGAAGGATGGATGGATGATGGATGGATTGATGGGCAGATAGCTGCCATATTAGAACCAAGCTCAGAGCTGGGTCTTTTGGGGAAAAAGGTGAATTTATCAGGTTTGAGCCCTTAACCTGCAATCAGCATCCACTTCTCAGCTCTCATCTGACACAACAGCTCTGCTTTATGTGCAGGAGAAGCAGTATTTCTCCTTTCCTGGAGAGCTCCTTATGAGGATGTTGAAGATGCTGATCCTGCCCTTGATCACCTCTAGGTAAGACACCATCTTCTGCTTCTAAAATACCACCTCTCCATCACATTGAGGAGATCACCCCATGATCTCCTGATGAGGAACAGGGTGCCCAGAGGAGCTGTGTCTGCACCATCCCTGGCAGTGCTCAAGGCCAGGTTGGACACAGGGGCTTGGAGCAAGCTGCTCCAGTGGAAGGGGTCCCTGCCCTGGCAGGGGTTGGAGCTGGAGGAGCTTTAAGGTCCCTTCCAACCCAAACCGGTCTGGGATTCTGTGACATCACCCCAAAATGGCCTGGGGTGAGGATAGCCCCAGCAACCCTGGCTTGGTGTCCCCCATGACAGTGGCGGATTGAGGAAGCATCACCACCAGCAGCTCTCCTGTAGAACCCTCTCTATTTTTAGTCCAGTTTTGTTTAACAGTAGTTTATGGGCTGCTTAGGAAAGCTTCTGTGTCCATGAAATCTGAACCAGCAGCTCTCCCCCTGGGGGAGCAGGGTCCACCCCCACCAGGATGTTAGAAACCCTGCTGAGACCTCTCTTCACTGCTCCCAGTGACGCTCAGCAGCAGCACAGGGCATCAGATACTTAAAGAACGGTGTCACAATCAAAAGAGCAGCATTAGTTATTTACCAACAAAATACACCAGGAATATTTCCTTCTTTTCCCCTTGGAGATAACAGAAAATACGGCCAAGCCTAGAAGAGGGATTGGAGAGGCATCTCCTCCCCTTCGCAGCTTAACCTGGGTTGCCACAACCTGGCACTCGAACGTGCAAGAGCTCAGTGATGCCCTTAAGCATTGGTTCAAAACTCTCTGAAGATGTCTCCCATCAGCTGCATCTTGTGCAGTTTTGGAGCAGGCACTGACCGTGATCTCCTCTGGTGCAGCCTCATGTCCGGGCTGGCCACCATGGACACCAAGGCCTGTGGGAAGATGGGGGTGCTCACCATCACCTACTACCTGTGGACAACCTTCATGGCAGTGACTGTGGGGATCATCCTCGTGGTCAGCATCCACCCGGGCGCAGCTGCCCAGAAGGACAAGTACTCGGTGGGGAAGGCGGTGCTCAGCTCCGCGGATGCGCTGCTGGATTTAATCAGGTACGAGGCAGGCTGTCAGCAGGGGCAGGTTGAGGATGGCATTTCACAGATGAGATGTCCCCATGAGGCTCCTGGGGATACTGAGACCTCCAGGGAAGCAGAACCGCGTGCCACGCTGACAGGCACCAGCACCTCTCTTTGCCCTCGGCTCACACCACGCTGGTGGCGGCTGTCACGGTCCTTTTGGCCTCGCGCCCACCAGAGGTGCTCCCCACATTGTTTCCTGTGCTCTCAAGATGTGCTTTGACCCCTGTGCCATTGCTCTCTTACAGAAACATGTTTCCTTCTAACCTTGTTGAAGCTTCATTCCAGCAAGTAAGTTCCCTTCCCCTTCCTGTTTCCCTTTCCCTTTCACCTTCCCCTTCCCTTTCTCTTCCCCCTTCTCTTTCCCCTTCCCCTTCTCCTGCTTCTTCCCTTCTGCACCCGTCATGGTGGTGGCTTTGCCTCTGTTGTCAGAGCAGGATGAAGCCAAGAGGACCCTGACCTCCCTGCTTTGCTTCTGTCGCAGTATCGAACGGTTCTGGTCCCGGTGGTGAAGTCTCCTGGCATTCCAAAGGTCCCGGGGAAAACTCTCAGTTTTATCTACTTTGCACCTGATGACGAAAATCCTGAAATCCATCGGCCCGTGTTCCTGGAGCTGACCCCATCTCCTGAGATGACCTACAGGACCCTGCCCGGGACCAGCAACGAGATGAACGTCCTGGGAATCGTCATCTTCTCAGCGACGATCGGTACCAACCCAGCAGGGATGGGGACGTTTCCTCCCCCAGTTTTCCATTCTCTGGGGAGACCTGAGAGCAGCTCCAGTGCCTAAAGGGGCTGCAGGAAACCTGGAGAGGGGCTTGGGACAAGGGCCTGTAGGGACAGGCCAAGGGGAATGGCTTTAACCTGCCAGAGGGGAGACCGAGATGAGCTCTGAGGCAGAAGCTCTTCCCTGTGAGGGTGCTGAGGTGCTGGCACAGGGTGCCCAGAGAAGCTGTGGCTGCCCCATCCCTGGCAGTGCTCAAGGCCAGGTTGGACACAGGGGCTTGGAGCAAGCTGCTCTATGGAAGGTGTCCCTGCCTGTGGCAGGAGTTGGGACTGGAGGAGCTTTAAGGTCCCTTCCAACCCAAACCATTTCATAATTCTGTGTGCAAGGGAGAGGCAGGAAGGTTTACGGGGGAGAAAGTCATGGGAAGGAGAAACCTGAAGCGTAAGGACAATGAGTGTGAAAGAGAGGAATCAGGAGGGGAAAGAGTAGGAGGAGATGAGGCAAGCATGGGGACAGGATTACCTGCAGATTAAGAGGTGAGAGCGAGGAGCTTGAATTTAGAGTATGAGGAACCAAGAAGCCAATTAGAGGATTTGAGGGGTGGAGGCAGTGGAGGCAGTGCTGGAGCCACTGGAGCTGGGGAGTGTCTGGTTGTAAAGGCTACGCTACAGGGAGTGCCAGGAGGAGACAGCCACAGTGAGACAGGGCAAAGGCAGACCCGCTGAGAGACCCTGCAGGAGAGGAGATGTCTACAGCAGGACCCTGTCCCCTTAGCAGCACCATCTGCTCACCAGGGACACCTGGGGAACCTGCTGAGCTCCTGCTTGCAGGACACGTGCCCAGCTCCAGCCCAGCCAAATGGGGAGAACGGGCTTTTGTGTTCCGAGATTATCACCCAGCACCCTGCCAGCGTGGGAGGGAGGATCAGCACCGGCTTGGGACACAGTGGGAGATCACCTGAGTCAGCCCTGGCCTCCCATATGCACTCCCTGGGTCCTGCACAGGATGGAGGGGCTTTGGACAAGGACAAGGTCCCTGTAGGGACAGGCCAAGGGGAATGGCTTTAACCTGCCCGAGGGGAGACTGAGATGAGCTCTGAGGCAGAAGCTCTTCCCTGTGAGGGTGCTGAGGCGCTGGCACAGGGTGCCCAGAGAAGCTGTGGCTGCCCCATCCCTGGCAGTGCTCAAGGCCAGGCTGGACACAGGGGCTTGGAGCAAGCTGCTCCAGTGGAAGGGGTCCCTGCTCGTGGCAGGGGTTGGCGCTGGAGGAGCTTTAAGGTCCTTTCCATCACAAACCAGGCTGGGATTCTGCGATAATAAAACCCAGAACTGGAGGGTTTGGGCAAATCTGCACACTTTTGAGTGTTCATCGAAGTGGCAGCCATGGTGTCTGACTCTTTTCACTCCAGAGCAAGGACAGGGCTGCAACTCGTCACCACATCCTCACCTATACGTAACCCCACCAGGCTCTCAGTGGAACCCATTCTGTGACCACCAGAGCCTCGAGGCACTTGGCACGACTCAGGCTGCTCCCAGGATTCTGTTACCACATCCATGTGCTTGGTTGCAGGACTGCTCCTGGGAAGAATGGGCGAGCGGGGAGCACCGCTGGTGAACGTGTGCCAGTGCCTGAACGAGGCCGTTATGAAGATCGTCTCCATGGCAGTTTGGTAAATCTGATTTCCATCCCTTCAGTTGTTCCCTTACCACCTGCCTCATGGGAACGCTGACCACAGAGCTCCAAGTGTGTTGTGAGCACTGGGGTGATCTTGGTCTGACTGCACCCCATGGTACCAGACACCGCAGTGATGGCTGTGGAGTGCTTTGATCACTGCGCAGCCTCACAAATCATCGTTTATGTTTATTCTTTGCAGGTACTTCCCCTTCGGCATCGTGTTTCTCATTGCTGGAAAGATCCTGGAGATGGAAGACCCATCAGTTATAGGCCAGAAGCTGGGGCTTTACGTCATTACGGTGGTGTCAGGACTGGCCATCCACGGACTCGTTATCTTGCCTCTGCTTTTTGTGCTCATCACCAAGAAAAACCCCTTTGCTTTCATGCAGGGGATGCTGCAGGCTCTGCTCATCGCCTTAGCTACCTCCTCCAGGTACGAAAACGTGGCTGAAACACGCTGATGCACCTGAGGAGGCATCAGGTTTGGTGGAGGGAGAGGATGTGTGCATGGCCGGGGGGGCTGGGGGAAAGCAGGAATAATCCAGAGAAAGCACAGTTATGCTCCAGCACTATTTGACATGAGAATGTTCCCAGTTTCAGTGGGAAGCGGGATGCTCAGCACTGGTCCCCAGCAGGATGAGCCTTAGGGCATCTTCAGACCCAGCCACTCCTCTCATGGGGTGTTCCCCAAGCAAACCAGCAGCGTTTGTGTCTGTGTGAGCTTACTGGAATTGCTGCAGTCACTTTCCTTTCAAAGGATTCAAAATAGGGACTTGGAAGTGCTTTATAAACCAGTGTGGGGTTATGGGCTTGGGTTTGAACTGGAAACATCAAAAGCTCCTCTGAACACCAAAAACCTTAACTCAAGGCCTGTGCATCCCAAAGCTCCTCCAAGGAAAAGCTTTGTCTGAGAAGATTTTAAAATTTGATATTATCTGCTTTATTTTCAATCTTCAAAACATTCTTTAAAAGAAGAAACTCCACATGAGACACCTCTGCCCTTCCTGGCGGACACATAGCTGCAGACATCTGCTTAGGAACCATTTCACAAGGCAAAGGGTTTCCTGGTCTCTCAAATGCTTCTTCCCATAATCCCGAGAACAGCATCTGGGGTTGTGCCCCCCAAGCACTCCCGTGGGTAATGTGGGCACCAGGGATGTCCAACCAAGCTGTAACCATCCCCCTCTGCTGTTCTGAGAGCGACGCCTTCATCACTGCAATGACACTGCTCTGGAGCCAGGCTGAGAGAGCTGGGCTGGGGCAGCCTAGAGAAGAGAAAGGTCCTGGAGGGGAGCTCTTAGAGCAGCTCCAGTGCCTAAAGGGGCTGCAGGAAACAGAAAGAATCACAATCATCTCTTGTTCTGCAGCTCTGCAACCTTGCCCATCACCCTGAAGTGTCTCCTGGAGAACAATGGAATAGATCGACGTGTGGCACGCTTCGTCCTCCCCGTCGGTGCCACCATCAACATGGATGGCACCGCGCTGTACGAAGCAGTCGCTGCGATCTTTATTGCCCAGGTCAATGAATATGACTTGGATTTGGGACAAATTATAACTATCAGGTAAATGTGCAGCAGCTGAATTACTTCTCCATTCATCTCTTTAGGCTTTGTAACAACCTCTCAGCAGAGACCTTGCTACTGCTCAGAGTGAACATTGCTGGGAAGCTGCGGAGTAGGGAAGGCTGCAGCGTGCAGCAGCAGGGCTGGGCTCTGCACCCACAGAATTTGCTGCAGAATCAAAGACTTTGCCTGTAGGTAAAATGCAGGCTGCAAACAGGCAGCACGACTAGAGCTGCCTGTAGGGACAGGCCAAGGGGAATGGCTTTAACCTGCCAGAGGGGAGACTGAGATGAGCTCTTAGGCAGAAGCTCTTCCCTGTGAGGGTGCTGAGGGGCTGGCACAGGGTGCCCAGAGCAGCTGTGGCTGCCCCATCCCTGGCAGTGTTCAAGGGGCTTGGAGCAAGCTGCTCTATGGAAGGGGTCCCTGCCCTGGCAGGGGCTGGAGCTGGAGGAGCTTTCTCTTTTCTCTCCCCTTTGGGAGCAGAATATCCTTCCATAGAGGAATAACTTCCTTTGCCATTCAAACACACTTTGCCTTTCCCCCCAGCCCCACACTATCTGCATGGCCACCTTCTTTTTGCAGCATCACAGCTACAGCAGCCAGCATAGGGGCAGCCGGGATCCCCCAGTCCGGACTCGTCACCATGGTCATCGTGCTCACTTCGGTTGGGCTGCCCACAGACGACATCACTCTCATCATTTCAGTGGACTGGGCTCTGTAAGTGACTCCCAGCGCAGTGCCGGCAGTGGGTGGGAAGTGCCAGCTCGTGGTGCTGCATCTGAAGCTGACGGACACGCGGGTCGGTGCTCTGAGCTTCACAAAGCTTTGTGCCTCCGCCCTGGGCAGAGAGGGAACAGCGTCAACTCTCCTGGCTGCTTTTCTCTCTCTTTCACATGAAAAGGAAGTTTAATTTCTCAGGTGAAAGTTCCACTCCTGCAACACGAGGTGGGTTCCACCTCTGAGCAGCACTGGGTGCCCAGCACCATCACCAAAGGCATCCTCACGGCTCTCTCTTACCTAGGGATCGATTTCGGACGATGACCAATGTCCTTGGTGATGCTCTGGCTGCTGGCATCATAGCACACGTCTGTGAAAAGGACTTCACTCCAAAGGCTCCTGTGGTACGTGTGCTTGCCTGGGCTCGCAGGGGAGCACAGGATGACCCCGCAGACACAACCCATGTTCTGCCCTAAGAAATTCAACGGTGGTTTTTCCTTTTTCAGCAGGATCCAGGAAGCAGCACAGCCAAGCTCCCTTCTGGGGAGGCCTCACACCCGCAGCCCAAAGACAACGTGATTGAAGTGATGGAAGAAAGCTTGTTCGGTCAGACAGGAGTTCATTATAACATCTGCCAGGTGTAGATCGCAGCATTCCTGCACCTGGGAACGGGATCCTGGCGCTAACCACGGACATGGTGAATGCCCCGTGTGGATGCTCTGCAAGACAAAGGCCTTACTTGGCACAAGTGGGAAAAACCTTCTCTATTCTTTGAAGACCACAGGACTCTGCAGCAGCACCCACAGAGCAACCCCTGCACCCGAAGCCACCTCCTGCTTTGCTTTAGTAGAGATATTTCTTTTCTAACCATTGTTTTTTTATTTCATTCCTGGGTTCTCAGCTATAAACTGAAATGAAGGAAATCGTCTGGAGCTCAAAATCCTGCATTTTCAGCTGGTTGAAACGTTCCACCTTTGGCATGGACAGTGGGAATCATTTAATGGCAGGGGTGGAAGGACTAGTTGTGCCTCTACTGGCTGTCTTCTTACACTGACCAGGCCCAATTGCAACCATGCTGATTTTCCCAGCTATGGATCTGCCCCCAAGTCCAAATTCCAATTACAGCCTTAAAATCACAGCCTTAAAACAGTGCTCAAGGCCAGGTTGGACAGGGCTTGGAGCAAGCTGCTCCAGTGGAAGGGGTCCCTGCCTGTGGCAGGGGCTGGAGCCTGATGAGCTTTAAGGTCCCTTCCAACCCAAACCAGGCTGGGATCCTATGATACAATCCCTGGTGTGAGCCCTCGTGAGCCGAGTGACTGAAAGGCAAAGCCATGCAAGTATCTCCTACCTCAACCCTTAACTGCGCCTGGTCAGAAAAGAAGCACTTAAGACACTTGGGCAAGGCTTCAACAGGTTTTATCTAAGGCAGCTCAAGCAGCCAGGATGTCCGTCCTGGAATCCAGGGATAGGGCCCAGGGTGCACCCCAGGCACGCGCGCCGTGTGCCTTGGCATTGTGCCGCCAGTCCTGCCATTGCACTACCTTCACAGTCCTCCTTGGAGCTGGGTTTTCTTCCTTCCTCCATGCCTGCAGTGAGAAAGGATTAGAACATTAAGGCCCATAAAATATGGTAAAAACAGGAAGGGGAAAAAGCAGAGTAAGGGCAACTTAAACCAAACTGAAAGTCATTTCTGACTCCCAAAGGGACAGCATTTCGTCTCATGGGACACTGAATGGGGAGGTGCTTCCTGCAAAGTATGACATGGAGCATTCCAGAACCACTGCTGATCATAACTGAGATCCAATACAGAGATGTGGCCATTTTCTGGAGTTACTTAAAGAGAAACTTCAGAAAAGTTTGGATGCTGACGTTTTACCCAGCTGAGGGTCATTTCCTGAAGCTCATCACACCACTATTATACTATTGTTAACTACCCTTTCCTCTAACCTGCGTTCCTAAGGATATACATCTTTGTATGAATTACTTCTGTGGTGTGTGGGCATGTAGAATAGCACAGATGTGCACATAAAACTGATACACACTAAACCATACAATTAAGAGATAAATACGTGTATTCTAAACAAACTATAAATACAGTATACAGTTTAATACATGTGCAAACACACAGGTATTACGTGTGTATGTATGCACATATAAATGTGTATGGCTCTTGGAAGAAGCAAAGAAGAAGGAAGAAGAAACCTGGAGAGGGGCTTGGGACAAGGGCCTGTAGGGACAGGCCAAGGGGAATGGCTTTAACCTGCCAGAGGGGAGACTGAGATGAGCTCTCAGGCAGAAGCTCTTCCCTGTGAGGGTGCTGAGGCGCTGGCACAGGGTGCCCAGAGAAGCTGTGGCTGCCCCATCCCTGGCAGTGTTCAAGGCCAGGTTGGACACAGGGGCTTGGAGCAAGCTGCTCTATGGAAGGGGTCCCTGCCCTGGCAGGGGTTGGAGCTGAAGGAGCAGGAGCAGGGTCACAAGTGCTTCAGCCCAAGCTGAGCAAGCCTGGCCTGTCTGAGCCCAAACCCGCCCATGCCAGGATTCTGGAGCTCACTTACCGTGGCTGGTCCCAGGCTCCAGCATAGCCCTGAAATCCCACGAGCACGAGCGCGTGCCCCATCCGTGCCCCCCGAGGCCCAGGACTCAACACTGCTCCTACAACCAAACCATTTCTGCTCTGCTCTCTTTTATCATCTTTCTTTGGCACACGCCCAGGCTGGGCTTGGGGACAGAATCTGCTCCAACACCTTCAAACAGAACTGCAGGTAAGTTTGTTGAAGAGCTCCACTGCCACCTCCACCAGGAAGCCCCAGACTAACTTTTATTAAACTCAGTGAAGTTCCTTGCAAGCCTCAGCTTAAGTTGCAGACGCGCTATTTACCAGGTGCTCCAGCTCTGCAGAGAGAAGTCAATCCAAATGAAACAGTTCAACACTTAAAGCTTTATGCTTAGAAGTCAAACAAGTAAAATCTCTATTTTTCTGTGACAGATTTTGTTGCAAGGAAACCAGCTGCCAAAGGGATGTCAGTGAAAGCTCTGCTCTGAGAGACCAGCTTCAGGTTCCCATTTGGCTAAATTCACTGCTTCTATCCATAAATTCTTGAAAAATAACGCGGAGTGACACAGGGACCTGTATTCACCTGCATTCACCTGCGTGGGAATACACGCACACACACACTAAGAAGTTACTCGAAACATCCCACTTTTCCTCCCAGCCTCCTGCTGTCAGCAAGTGCTGGAAGCAGAAGATAGTTTAAGGAAAAGAAAGGTGGATTCAAAACTCAAGCAGCAAAAGGGAAGGAGATAACCAGTAACAGGCAGGGCCCCCTCAACACCCCACTGCTGCGTGCTGGGGAGGCAGGAGGGGAAGTGATGGAATGAGGAAGGGACGGTGGGATGGGGACAGGCTGGATGTGTTTTCCTTGAACAGCTTCTCCTGCTCTGCTGGAGACAAACCCCTGAGCTAAACAACTATAACATGAGCCAGAAGGACATTCCTTACACTCTCATTTTCCCATGTTCCTTTTCCTTAGAAAGATAGAATAAAATACAAAGACAGGATTTTCCCCCCACCTTGATTCCCAACATTCCAGTGAGATGGAACACTCCCATTTTTCCCCTCCCCCCCATTCTGAACTGAAGGGGGTGAAGTTTAACAGCAGGATACTCCAGCAGTGCCACCAGCACAGCAAGTGGGGGAAGAGTCTAAAGCCAGAGAGTCCACTGGGAATTCTGCAGTCACAGGACCTCCCCCTCAAAGTTAATGGGGCTATGCTAGGTTTTTGTGTTGCTTCTGATAAAATCAGCCATTGCTGAGAGGGGCCCATCCTTGAAGCTTTTTGGTGATTAATACATGTTTTCCCTCATCAAAAAACCTGGAAAAGACAACGGTGTTGACAATGAACCTGTGTGGAGTGAACATACGGGAGTAACATCTGGTTGAGAGTAAGAACATAGGAGTTGTCTGGCTCCATCCAAAGGACAATCCAGGAAAGGTCTAAAGTTCTGCACTGGTGATGGAGCATTCCTGATTCCGATGATGCTGCAGATCCAACAACCTGTTGTTATACTGACAGTAACAGAAAACACCCCCTTCTGTTCCTTACCAGATTAGCACAAGGGATAATTCCAGCTTGGTGAACAGGGCTGGACTGAGCAATTCCCACAGCAAGAAATAACTGGAAATCTAGTTTTGCACTGCATGGAGATGCCCGAGCTGAGGGAGCATCTGCCCCACGTCACCACACATGAGACACTCAGTCTTACTTCCCATCCCTTTTCACAGATTATTCATTAAGATAAAACCCAGAGCCAGTGCTTCAGATGTATGGTGACAGCCCAGCTCCGAGCCTGACCTCACACTGACAGATCGCTGCCCTCAAGAGCTCCCTTCAAGTTTCAGCACACATTTCTGGGTAATCATGGAGCTGGGCTTTGGTTTAATCAGGATGGATGCCAGGAGATTGAGAGAACACTTGGTTTTCCTGAAAAATAGAAAGGAAATCATGCGCTGCCTTTGAATTCCACCTTTCTGACCAGGCTATAAGTAACCGAATCTTTAGTGGAGCAAGCTTGAATCTATGCATGAACCCAGCTCGGAAAAGAATGTCACATTTCACAATAATCATCCAATTCCTGCGGGAAAGAAAAAACAGAGTATGAACAATTCAGTAACAGCCTAATTCTATTTTGAAGCACACCACCTTCCACCATGGATCACTTCAAAACATCATGTTCCTAACATGTACACAACAAAACCAGAACTGAGCATGTGGCAGAAGTCCAGAATTCCCTTGCTCTATTGCCTGAACCTTCCAGGATTAATACTAGCATGAACCTCCTGGTGTTGCTTCCTTTACTTCTGAAAAGACCAACTAGAAAACAACGCTCCTCATTCCATCCACAGGCTTCTACAAAGCTGCTGCTTCATCCAACAAACCTTTGAACTGTTTCAGTATGAAAATTCCTGGTTTTCTTTCCAAATTGCAGAAAATTTCCAACCCAAGGATGAACTTGGTCCATTTTTTGCAGGTATTTCTAAAATAAAGTTAATTTACAGAAAGTCGTCTCAAAATAACACAATGGGATTCAAGTTCATTTGAGACATTTGGAAAGCAGTGTCATACTTTATTTAAAAGAAACCCATGTAAAAACAAAGCTTAAATGAAAATGGTACCTGAAAAATAAATTATTTGATATAAAACAAATCAATAACTTAAAACCACACTAAATATACAAAATGTTGAACCATATACTGTACAGTATGGAAAACAATTGATAAAACCTTCTGTCCCACAAACAGATTAATCCATGAACAAAAGAGTACATAAGTTAAGGGAAATTAAGTCAATGAAACCACTAGATAGAAGTACAGGATCATTCAAAATTACTGGTCAAATAAAGGCTTTATCCCAACTTATGTTTCAAATTTCTCAAGTCCTTTTCTTCTCAATGACCAAGTGAAAAAGTTCAGCTGTACCACGGAAAAGTTGCTCAAAACTGTTGGAAAATAAGGAACAACCAGCATGAGAATGGAGACTCTAAAAGGTGAGCCCAGAAGCAAGTCCCAAGGTTTCAGGTGGCAGTTCTGCTGTCCCTCATTCTCCATCATTGCCAACAAAAGGAATTTAAGTGCTGAAAATTCCACTGAACAGAAAAATAGTTTTAGCTCAGCCTTGGTGGATGGTTTATAGGGTGTGATAGACAGGAATAACCACAGCCAGGGGCAGGAAAACAGGACAGGATTTCAAGGCAAATCCCTCCACTGGGTGCTGTGCTTGGTTTTAGAGCATCTAAAGGCTTTGGCTGGTTTTAAACCATGCAGAAGGAGAGAGCAACACTTGAGGGGTGGTTTAGTTGTACTACACAAGCCTACTAGGAAAAAGCCATCACAAAACCAGGGCCACATTGAACCCATCTAAGAGTGGACACTTGAGCTGCATTGTGGAGGAGTCACACAAGGTGCAGGACA